TGCTGATGCTCAAGCAATTCAAAATGAAATAAACTTGAATCTCTCGTTTTAGTAAAAAATAACCTATTGTGGTTCTGCTGCTCTAGCACCACATCTTAGACACCTCAGAAGAATGCTGATGCCAGTACAGGCATATAAAGTCCTCAGAGTGGCCCCTACACTCTGCTCTAGCCCTTCAGTACATCTCACTCTCTCAGTGCTCATTGTCACATGTGTTCCTTCGGTAAACTAAAGCTTTTTGAATTGGCTGGTATCCCATTATATCTCTATTCCTAACATGTAAAAGGAAATCCCATGATGGGGAAATGATCAGAGGTGGAAATGAGCTAAGTATTTGTGGTATTAGCCTACATATTGTCACTTCTGAAAACTGTGTTCAAATGTATATTCGTATACATTATCTAATCCATATAAACCTTGAATACTATTTATGTGCAAAACATCAGTCGAGGAATATGAAACTCTTGTTTTAACCACCAGGGGGCACGACTAGTAACTTTACGGGCCGATTCATCGCCAACCCCAACTGTCGCTCAAAGCAAAATCTCTGAAAAATCTAAGAACTCTCTATTCCACTCAGTATTTGAACCTAAACTAGACTCTAATTAAACTTGTAATAGCAATATCAGTCTCAACAGCACAGGTCTATAGGTCAATTAAAACACAGGTCAATTTGCTTTGGTCTAAGTCAAGCCAAGGTAAAGTTAGCCTATTATTACTTCAATCTGCCGAACATGCTCCATGTGAATTACAGTAGTTACATGAATAGTCCTTTGTGCCACATTACGAAAAGGCCGTGGGCTGTTGCGTATATTTCAGTATTTAATTTCCCGTTAATAACATGGCCTGTAGCCTATCGGAAGAATCAGGTCAAGGGTCTATTTTAAACGGAGCTCAAACAAAAGAAAAGACAGCAGATTTATATATCCTTAGATCAGGCCTGTACAGATGATCAATATCACACTCAGGATATCGTCCCCACTCATTCTGCTCGTTTACAATAATGTGATCTCACACTGCGATAAGAGGACAATTATTCTTGGCCTACTGCACATTTAGCATATACGCGTGAGGTCTGTCCTATGGAAAAAATGCTGCGCGTAGACTATAGGTCTGATAAATAATTTTGGCGTCCATTAGAGAGTCATTCTGCAATTCCAATTAAGCCATTTGCTGTTAAAAAAGTGTAACCTAAATTATTATCTTAAGTCTAGTAGGCTAATAATAACAGTAGGCCAATAGTAGCCTTTATAGCCTATGGCAAGTGTACGGATGGGCCTACTCAAACAGACGGGTATAGAAGGCATGGCGCCGCGCACCCAATTGAAAACGATGGTGAAAAGCGAATGCCCAATTTCGGTTCCGTCTGTAAGTTTCTCAATTTTTTTTTTTAGGCTATAGTCTAATTATTCGGCTATGTCTTTGAGTTTATCACTGTTTAAGTCCATACCGTGTTAAATTCATTCCACACATAACGTTAATTTAAAGAACAGCTATTTTCGGCTACCTTTTAAGCTACCTTTACTTTGTCATGATTTCGCTTTTAAATTGTACAAGAAGGATTGTCCCAGGGAGGAGGTGGGACTAACGCGCACAGGCCAATAACTGTGCAGGAGCAGCACAGGGGCGAGGTCCTACCCTCCTGCACGAGGCACAGAAGCGGGCAGCGCGATGGCACTTGAAGTTCAGTGCGTGCAGACACCTCACCTCTGGATGTAGCCGCGGAGCCCGGGACAGGACGTGGATAGACAAACAGACTGCGCGTCCCAAGTTTGAGGTGCGCTTACTCCACATTGTGCCTCTCTGGATAATTTGACATAAAGGCCAGCACTTTTAGGTGTATGCATATGACCACAGTGCACGTGGGAGAGGTGCGTAGAGGTCAGCGCTCTGCAATTAAAGATGCTCAACTACATTAAAGTGGAGGACTGCGCGCGCACCGAGACCTGCTCTCCGAGTATGATGACGGGTATGTGGAGTGAGGGATTTTGTTTTAAAAGTAAACTAATCTTAAGGCTAGTATTCCTGCAGATAGGTCTAGCCGAAAATTAGTGAAACTTTAAAGTGAATTTGATCAGAAAGAAATGGTTTAATATTTGTGCGTTTAATTGACACTTTTATGCACGTGAAATAATCACTGTCCTCATGGAGAAATGCATCTTATAATTCATTTTGAAGATAGGAATAGAAACAGTAATAAACTAGTATCCCCTATTTTTATTTCTATTGTTCATTAAAAAATCTATATCATATTACATCTATAAATAGCCTAATAGCCTTCATTTTGGGGTAGAACGATCACACCTCTTTTGGTGGCATAGGCTTGTTTGGACATAAGGCACTACATTTCAAAATACAATAATTTGCATCTTCTTAAACCAATAGAGTTTTATTCATTCTTTGTTGATTTAATTTTTTGAATGTCTTAAAATGTTTTATTGGCTTGGGTTAATTGAGAGAATGCAAGTAAGACATTACTAACAAAGTAGAATTTAAATTTGATTTAGCCTAACACATTTATTTATTAAGCCACACAAATTAACCTTCGCTTTATTGAGTCTATAAAACTTGTTTGGACTACTTTTTAAGATCGCATTGATGAGGCCTAAATGAAAACACAAAGCGAAAGCTTGCTAGACCCATCTGACGCTGGTATGTGTTTCAGACGGGGGCTCTCCACAACAGGCCGTGTGTGAGGGATGCTCGCGGCTCATCTCGGACCGCTTCCTGATGCGCGTCAACGGCGCGTTCTGGCACGAGCAGTGCCTACAGTGCGCCGCGTGCCAGCAGCCGCTCACCGCCACCTGCTACTTCCGGGACACCAAACTCTACTGCAAGACTGACTACCAACAGTAAGTGACTGCTCTTGTAGCCTATAGAACACATGTATTGTTATTTTAGAAAAGTGTGTCAACAATATTCTCCAAATTTTCTCTATGAACATTCAATGTATTAATTAATTATATGGTCAAGTTTTACTGGTAGGACCACCTGGTAAACCACAACTTGTTTGTGTTTGAAATTGCTTTTGGCCTATATATTGTAATCTCTATAATATGGAGATGGCAAAGGAGCAAGCGTTCACTAAAATTCACATAACATTAACTTTTAACTATTTTGATTATTTTGAATTTTTATTTTTTTTTACACCATTTGTCCATGTAGCACTTTATTCATTTCTAAAAACATCTTTAGGGTTGCTTTGAAGACAGTGGCAGAATGGTGTAGTTATATTGTCATCCAAAGGCTTGGGAGATTGAGTTCTCCAGTTTTCTTCCTGGCCATGTGCACTGAGTGTGTGTGTGTCTGCCATGCGACTGACTGACTTAGGTGTACGCCATTTCCATTGAAGCACAAGTTTGTTGTGTTGGCATAGATAGACTGAGAACATATTCATTTAAACTACCTCACACTGAGTGCCAAAAACTGATGGATAAATCCAGACCAAATAAACCATGTGTCAAAGATTTACACATTTTATTGAAAAGTCAAGTAGCCAGTAGAAAAGACATGTTGATCATTGTCTTGTCATCACAAAACCTGAATGTTTTGAGAGCATTGTTTAAAGAAATTACTTTATCATATATACTTTATCAGTGATCTGTAATGGTTATTTTTAATTGGTGAAGTGTTTAAATCCATCCTGTTCATTGGGTTGTGAATGCTGTATGCTTTGTTTTGCATGCCCTGTGTTCTGTATGCTTATCTTCAGAAAATATGATACTGTAAGCCTATTCATGGGTTTCAAGCTATCATAACAGAGGGCCAGTAAATCAGTAATTAAAACATTTAATCAAAATCTTATGTCATTTGAATGATGAAAATATACTAAATTCTTCAAATCAGGAAGGATAATTTGCCTGCAATGAAGGTAGGCAAAGCGTCTTCTTCTTTAGTCCACCATTTGAAACATTTTTACTTCTCTCCTGATTTTGACTTGCACAAACCTCATCATATAACATAATTTTCTCTGATATGCTTTTTTACAGCACAGTATGTGTTTGTCATTTAGTGCTTTGTGAGTAAGGATGTTGGGTTAGCTTTATTTTTATGAGACTTAGAGGAGCTGGTCTGTAGCATATCCATCACGGGTCCTATGAGCCAGTCTGCTCCTGCACACGACAGGGCGTCCAAACATTAAATATACCTCGCCTTCCTGGGAGTGCAGCCTGCCCCATCAGAGAGACCACAGAAACCGTACAAGAGCCAGCAGGAGTCCATTAAAAGCTACTGGTGTTTGGGAATGGCAGCTGATCAACACTTTGGCTCAAGGCTATAAAAACAAGCTCTGTGAACAGTTTGCAGATAGGGTTACAGTGCCTCTGAGGTGCCTGCCCTGACAGCCACAGGTTGTCCTTACCCCACGGCCTGACCAGTTATCTTAACTCTGTGATTGATGAAAATGGTTCCCTGACCCCCTTCGGACTTCAAACAGTAAGCAAATAGATGATTAAATATTGTGTCTTTGGAAATAGAGAGGCATATATGTTTCAAAAATATGTGAGAGCCATGGTGGAACACTGACTGTGGCTGTACTATTAACATAACTACTGTTTAATGTATGCTGTTTTTGCCTTTGATAAATGAGAAATGTTTGAATTCATGGTTGTAAAAAATATTTCAGGAACAGTACTCAGTGAACAATTCTCAAGAATAAAATTATTAAGATTAAAAACTGGCCTAAAAACTTCAGATTGAACTCAAACACGTTTTCTTTTCACAGTTATGATGAACACAGAACATCTGATTTCTGTACTATGACCCTACATGTCTCGGGTCTTTGGCTATGTCTGGTCCTACATCACCTTGAAAGGCCTATCATATACATAAGTTCCTGTATTCCCATGGCTTTATATATGGCTTTACATTTGTTAACTGTTTGTTTCTTGTCCTTGGTCTGAATGTTTCTGAAGTTCGTCTCTGAAAGTGTCCTGCTCATGAAGACGTTTATGAATGATTTCACAATGAGCTGAAGGATCAAAGGGTGCGCCCCAGCAGCAGCGCCAAACCAGTGGGCTAATAGGGGGGAGGGGTGGTGAGGTCCCAGCATGAGGCAGCACACAAACTTTGTGCCCTCACCCATAACTCCACAATTTACAGCACATATACAGGGTACAATGGTGTAGCAGTAGAGTTTGCAAAATTCATCATTTTGCAGTCCAAGAGCCTAAATGGTATTCAAAACAATAGAACTGACAGACATTGTGGTGTGGACACTCCTTGCTTTTTAAACATGTTTTGATGAAATTCTTCAGACTTAGCTAATGATGTACTGTTTCACAGTCTAGCCATAATAACTAACTGTTGAGTGTTGAATGTAGGGCTAGTTAAACAATATAATTCTCTAAGTTTATCTACTTAATAAATTGTTTTATTGGGCTTTAAAACACCTTAAATCTACAAAATACTACAAAAACCTATAAAAATAGCTTGTATAGTTTTTGGATTTCCAGGTAAACTATTGCTCACATATTTTATATGCATGTTAACAGTCAATAGTCTTGAATTGGGAATGTTATATGCTTGTTAAATAAGCCATAAAAATACAGATGGTGAGTTGTAGTTGTGTGTCATTTTGTATTGTTTTGAGACTTTCGCAACTGGATATTTAGAGAATTAAGTAAAAAATAATTAAGTTCTGTTATTTTGTATAATTAAAAAAAATTACAAATTCTACACTTTTTTTCCATTTTCTTTTTTGTTGCTGCTATTGTGGTTACATTTTTCCCTATAATATTATGCCAGTGCTTTGTATCTTCAATCATATATTTAACCGAGTTAAAAGTTTCTCAGCAATAAATGTGTGTTTCTTTTGGTGGCAGATTGTCCTTGGCAGACACAGGCACACCAGAGCACCACACAGCCAAATGTAGTTTACACTGGCAAAAATGTCCATATTTGCATTCACAGTGTAATCTGATGATGATTCCTCTGTCCTCTCCCTGCTCTTCGCTCAGATACATGTTTGCCAGTCTGTAATTGGCCCAGAGTCTCTCCCCTCCCTCTCTTTTTCTATTCTCTGCTTAATCGTTCTGTCACTGCTGTGGGACTCTCCAGGGACTTGGGCTGGCGTTTAGCGGGCTGAGGCAACACTAGACCCCCAGGGCTCATCCAAAACCTGCCTGCTCCAAGCTGTCCACAATATTAGCGTTGAGCTCTCAGAGGAGTGCTCTGAAAGACCCACACTTCTGCACGGGATTGTAACTGTCAAACTGCCTTTTGTTATTGGTCAAGTAGAAGAGCTGTTATTACTTTGGTATACTGAGGCGAAAGCTAATATTACTCCCTCCATTAACTTCTGCCACTACTACTTATGGGCCCAAGTACTGCATTATAACCTTGGTGTAGTATCTGTATAACACTTTATCATTATACTGGTTATTATTATTTTTTGTTTATTTATTGGCACTAGAGCTGTACATTATGCATTAACATTCTGTGCATTGTGCAGTAATAACAAAACAACAAAACCTGTCCTAAAGTTGTTAAAAGACTTCAATATTAGCTGTATGGTATGGTGAGCAGGTAAACAGTACAGCCAATGTTGTTTGAGGTTTGCTGAAGTCACATGTCACTATTACAAACAGTTAATTCGCTATGCCATTTGGTACCACTGTGATTCAAAGTAGTTTCAGGAGATCATTTAAGACTATTTAAATATGCTTAGCAAACAAATATGCCTATTTTTAAAGCTGCATGTTTTTGACAGTTGGGAGAATAAAGCTTGAGTGCCAATAACCAGACCACTAAGTACTGTTCCTTTTCATTGAATTGACCAGATTTATTATGCTCTTCAGGGATGCCCAAAGTGGAGCCCGCGGGCCAAATTTGGCCTTCCAAGGCGCTTAATTTGGCCCATGAGGGAGTGCGAGTTTTAGATTTAAGTATCCTTTTTTCTCTCAATTTTGCACCGAAGTGACTGTCCAGTTCTCCCTTAAAAGCACAATAATTTAAGACAATTTATTAAGTATTTTTGTGCAAAATTTATTTATATGCCAAACATTATTATTGTTGTTAAGTTTGTACCAATGAGCATGTGATCTTGAACTAATGAGAGCAGTGACAGAGGTTTTATACACGTGTGTCCAGAGAGCTGAGCTGGCGGGGTGGGGCTTGGGGATTGGTGACAGTTGTCCTATGTTTACATCTTTATATATACACTTATATACATTTTACACTTAGCTGTTGAAGTTACCTGTGTGACAAATGACTTGTTAATGGTAAATGGTCACATTTTTCTATAGCGCTTTTCCACCTTCAAGGCACTCAAAGCGCTTTACAACAAGGAACCACTCACCCATTCACACACACACATTCATACACCAGTGTACACAAACACTGTGGGCAAGGTGGGTTAAGTGTCTTGCCCAAGGACACAACGGCAGCATTCATCTGTGGGAGCTGGAATCACACCAGCCAACCTGTGGGTCAATGGATCTGACCGCTCAACCTGTGATGTTTATGTCGAGAGCTGGATTCGAACTGCCAACCTTCAGATCAGTGGGCGAATGCTCTACCAACTGAGCTACTGCCAGTTAAAAAACCCCAGAATAATTATGCAGTGTTCAGTGCAGTATTTATCTCAGTAACTTGCTTCTGTATGCTTACTTTGTTAACTCAACAGCTACAAAGAAGGACACTTGCAGTCACTGCTTTTTAAACTAATTTATGAATAAACATTTTCCCCACTATTATTTAGATAAGTAAAAATATGTTATACATTATATGTGGACTTTATGTTTAAAGTATAAATTAAAATGTGCTAAATTAAATTACTATAGGTGTTTTCAGTAATCTTCCACTATTGGGAAACTACTGTGGAGAGAGGAGGGGGGACTGTCCAACAGTCCCCCATCATTGTGTGTTTGCGTGTGTGTGTGTGTGTGTGTGTGTGTGTGTGTGTGTGTGTGTGTGTGTGTGTGTGTGTGTGTGTGTGTGTGTGTGTGTGTGTGCGTGTGTGTGTGTGTAAAATACAATGGTCTCAGGGGAAATAAAGTGTGCCTTCCTCGCCCCTCTTCTTCAGATCTGTTGTATCTGAGCTTTTCCCATATATGAGGCTTTAAGGGTTAATCCCAAAACCTCAACATTATTCTATTGTAATTGTTTTGTTCTGAATAATTGAGTGTTGAGTTTGTTACTTTTGTGTTATTGTAGCTATACAACTGTGCTACTTGACACAGAAAAGTGTCTTATAAAACATTGCTTGCACAGACATGTTGAGTCAGGTCTTTTGTTTAGTGCGGTTAAAAGATAACCATTATTAAACCGTGCAGGTGTGAAATACACAAAAGGATGGATAGGATGGATTCATAATACACACAGAATTCTTAAACAGATATCCTCAGCTGATTCCAAGTTTGGGTAAGTGATGAAATAAAAATCATATAAAAACAATCAGGTGTGGCCAACCTTAGAGTTTTGACTGTTTCAGTTTAGCTTTCGACACCTCTGAGGCAGCTGTTATGCAGATCAAAACAGTTGAACAACATGATTCTTCATCAGTCATATTGATCACATGATAAGCTCAAACTCAGGCTTATTATACAGTGGATGTGTGGCCTGAGTGTGAGTGAGTTTGTCTTGGTTTTGTTTTGTGATGGACTCAGGGCTCCATCCCCCATCACAGAGGTGAGCGAAAGGCGCAATATATGGGCTGTATAATTTCAGTTGAAAATAATACTATTTTCTGCTTTAATATACCATATGTACCATATGTAATTAATAAATATATTTTTTTTGATAATTGTGTCTAAACTGATGTATTACATAATTTGATTTGTATTAGTTAAAGGTACTGGTAAAACATGGTTTTGAAGGGGAAGTTGCAAGACTGTTTTTTTTACCTGCTGGGCTCTGACTCTGAGACTGTGCTATTGAATGCAGTAGGGAGTTCCATGCATATAAAATGTGAAATAGACTTGCATTCATTTAAATAATAGAATTTTCCTTATCGTTTTTCACTTTGTCCTAATTTATCATTATATTTTTGGTCATAGGTAATGAATTAACACAGCATAGTCTGAGGCTTGGGCACTGAAAAGAGTATGGTTCAGGTTATGTTATTGTCGCTTCTAAAGATGTGTGTCACTTGACTTACATTATTTTCTAGTACATTACAGAACAGACTGTGGTAGTTTGATGCTAAAGACAACACAGTTTCTGTTAGTAAAAAACACAGAGTAAAACCTGAATTCAACTTCACTTGGCACAGTCTTCCTTTTATCATCACTCATAAAACTGTTTTTGAATTGATGCACTACTGCTGTGACTGAACAAACAGGCATTAGTTGGAAAGTCATTGGTAAATAATTACCATATTATTATTATTATGTCATATAGAAATCAAAAGATCAGAAGTTGCTACCAGCTCAGCATCTGTTGGCAGTGCTCTGTTCCATGGGGATTTCTGTGGTTGATCGTCTAGACATAACAAAAGTTACAACTCCTCCTTTTTACACAAGTCTCTATTGTTGTTTTCTGTCCCTGTTGCCATAGGAACCACACTTTCTCCTATATGTCCTGGATCTGGCAGCTTTCTGTTTGTCAGTTGTCCAAAAAACATAGCATAAATATTCAGACATTTGAGCATGACAGTGAATTGTGGGGGGCACATAAACTTTGTAAATTCGAACTTTCTTCGTAACCATTGTTTGGATTAGGTCAGATGCTCTGTATGCTGTCTACCCTGTCCCTTAATACAGGACTGACCTGGTGCTGGATACCATTAGATGCCTATGAGACATAATTATTATTATTCATTATTCACTATTACTATTATTCATTTATTAGTACAAGGTTAGACATCTAAAGTACATGTGAAGAATTTAATTTGAATTATTCAGCATCATATTTATTTTCCCTAAATCCATTTAGGGGCTACTTGAAAGGGGGTGGAGAGCTACTCAGATTGGAAACTCTTACTCAGACTGGAAACCCCTTATCTATATTATTTATTTTGTGATTTTGTTTTGTATTTCTTCTTAAAACCAACTTAGATTTCAAAAGATACCAAAGTGTGCAAGATGAATTCCTCCCCTCGTGTTGTAAACATGCCTACTGAAGCTGGTTGACTCACAGTTGACCTGAGAATGATCTCCTGATGGCCTCCTGGCACGACTTTCACTCTCTCTGTGGGAGACATGACTTTAGACTTTGTTCTGGGTTGTTTCCAAGACAATTCCACAGCCAAGATTTGATAGTACAGTGTCTGCCAAAAGCTGCCAGTTCACCACAATTTTACCAGTGTTACTTATACTGCAGGGGCCTGCTACCACATACAATTTTCTTCTTTTATATTATATTATACTATACTATGTTATACATTTTGATTTTTCAGCAATTTAGCAAATGTTCACACCTCAAAGACTAAATACTCCACATGCAGACAGATGTTTTTGTCTTTTTCATTCCTGCTGATGAAGTCTTGCAGGTCTATAAAGGACCTGCTCTGATTGATCTGCACCGCCCACAGCCTTAAACCTTGTCCCAAGTCCCTTACTGACTTCTTGAGCTTTGGCTGAGCAAACAGCCCAGCCCCTCTCCCTCAGTTCTGCTTTTATTTTCTTGTGCCTCCTTCACAATAATCTGTTGATTATTCCTGCTAATTAAAACTCCAACAAGCTGCCACCCAAAGCCTTAACCCCCCACCCCTCATCCTCCTCCTTTAGGTCAGGCAGATCCCAGAGGAGGCCGAGCAAACAAGCGCAGAGTGAAGGAACACACACAGTCTGTTTTCACCGCTTCATCCTTTTAATCCTCCGCCTCAACACCACTGTTAATCTGCTGCAGCACTCAGGGGGACAGGGCAGCGGGCCAGGGGGTCAAGGAGGCCCCTCCAGAGAGGTGGCCCGAGCGATGGTGGTCCGCTGGGTACAGGACAAGAGCAAATATTCACACACTTCCGAAGTGTGAGGGGAAAGAGTCTGGGTTGAAGGGAGAACTGGTACAGCAACTTTGGGTTTTTATAAAACAATAAATACATTAAAAAACACTTAATGGTCACTTACAGTGGTGGATGTAAAATATAGTCGGATGCTTTTATATGAATGTCAGTTGTTTAAAATGCACTTTGATGTCTTGATGAAGAACGGAATGGGTTTAGGGCACATACCGACCGCAATGTTAAGATAAATTTACAATTAGCTGAATGTCTCTTCCCACTCTTCACATCTATTCTTGGAAGTCTGGAAGGATTCTCTCATTTAAATAAAAGAAAGAAATTTGGACCATGTAGTCTAATTTTCCATCATTTTCTGAAGTTGTAAACTATAGTTTATATTTATACACGTCTAATTGTCCAGAAACTTTTGCAAACAAGGGTGGATCCAAGACATTTTATTTAGAACCCATTTTACCAACAGAAGGTTTTCACAGAACTCAGAATGTCTTTTGTTCCTGCAGTTTTTTGTACTTGTTGTTTACTGGTCTACTGTCTTGAAAGCCCAACTCAAATAATTTAGTATTGAGGCATATCTGGTTTAATCATGAACTGTCTTTTGGCTGAGCAGTTTCTTTTCAGTTTGAAAACAATATATTAAAACTTAGCCTCATAGTCACTTCATTGCTGTTAACAAAACAACTGTGTGGACAGAGCTCTTCAAATAAACCCTTTATTCTAAAACAAGTAAACAACAGCCACACCTGTGAGCACCAGGACTTCTTCACAATAAAAATGTTCTACAAACTGCCAACAAACAAGCTGCCAAAATCTTGTGTGGTCCCGCAGCAGCAATGTTGGATATGCCCAAAGTCTGGATACATATACATATACAATACATACCTTATATTTATTTGGAGAGAAATTTGTCACTTGTCATAAAACACTACGTTGAAAATACAGTATAATAATCATTTGTATTTTCTCTTCAGGCTGGTGTGGAGTAAATGCAGTGGATGTTTGGAGCAGATCTCTCCCTCGGAGCTGGTGATGCGCGCTCTCGACAGAGTGTACCACCTGAGCTGCTTCTGCTGTGGCGTCTGTGAGCGACAGCTGTGTAAAGGGGACCAGTTTGTGCTGAAGGAGGCACAGTTGCTCTGTAAAAGTGACTATGAGAGGCTTTGCACTGTTACCCCCGTCAGCTCAGACTCAGGCAAGATTCAGCTCTACAGAATATAGTCTACAGGATATATACTTGAGGACACAAATGTCAACATGCTTTTTAATTTACATTTCAGATAAGAGTGAGGATGAAGGGGTGGATGTCAATTCAGATGCTAAAGGCTCTGGAACATTGGGGAAATGCACTGATGACAAGGATCCACGGCGACCAAAAAGGCCACGCACGATCCTTACCACCCAGCAGAGGAGGGCATTCAAAGCCTCCTTTGAGGTCTCCTCCAAACCCTGTCGAAAGGTTAACTCATTATAATATGAAAAATCAGCTAAAGGCAGTGCAATACATGTAAACTCATGATGGTGATTGTGGTTCAGACAATAAAACAATAATCTGAAGAAAACAATTAAGCATCTTTATAGCTGAAAAGATTTGAGTTTGATTTGAGTTTTAAATCTGTCTTTGTGAACAGGTGAGAGAGACTCTGGCTGCAGAGACTGGGCTCAGTGTTCGAGTGGTTCAAGTCTGGTTTCAAAACCAGAGGGCCAAGGTCAGCACATTTATATACACATGTCCTTATTGTAACCCACCTAGAAAAAGTGGAGTGACTGTGTGTTTATTTCAGATGAAGAAGTTGGCACGCAGACAGCAGCAACAGCAGGAGCAGCACAACACTCAGAGGATTGGTGCAGGTCAGTATGCAGCTAGTCTTAAACATTTGAAGAATATATTGAAATTTTATTTAGTTGCAGAACACTGAACACCTGAATTAAAATGTATTTTGTAATGTATTCTGATACATGGTCCAGTCAGAGGACTGTACTCTATACTTTCATGCAGGGATGCATTTAAATTATAGTGTAAATATGCAACATATGATTAAAAATAGCTGTATATTTGTTTCACCAAAGGAAAAATCACATGCACTTGCCACGACAACTGTTTTTTCTAAATTGAGTGATCAAGTACTGCCAAGTATACCTTTGATTTTATGAAAATAACTGTATTGAAAGAAAAAGCGAAAGAAATGAAATGAAAGACTAACTATACCAGAATACAGTTACTCAAAATTTTGATTCAGAATACGTATTCTCAGCACAAGTCTATGGATATAATTTGAAGCAAATATATGCTTTTTAACTAAATTTGGAGCACTTCTCTGTTTTTTCAATAGCCTATAAGACTTTAAAGTATTCACCACAGCATCATTTCCTTCTTTTGGAGAGTCTCTTATTGCCACTGTGCTCTCACTGTGGATATGAGCCGATAGTTTAGATAAGTGGCTCAGTGCTTTGGCAAGCGCTGCCTCTATCTGTTCAGGGAGTCCCAGCATGTCAATATTGGCATAGCAGTAGGGTTTTATTATAGGGAGGCTGCTGGTAACCCAAACCAGTAAACCTGCTCTGTTTATATGTGCTGTTGGACAAGATGCCTAAGACAGAAAGGCACTCAGCAATCACACTAAATGAGCTAACAGGAACCATTTTCTGTCTTTTTAAACCATTTAATAGAGACTACAGAATACAAGCCAATGAACAGTAATGATCTATGGCTACTCTCGGTTGTGATTAAATAAACTGTTTTTGCAGAGGTGATGACAGGCTGCATGGAGAGTCTGCTCACATCGTACTCCAGAGGTGCGCATGTGTTGAGCCTGGATCACAGTAACTACAGCTCAGAGTACCAGCAGGGGCTGACCCCTCCTCAGATGCCCGGGGACCACATGCACCCATACGGTCAGCAACAGCAATACAACACAACTACTCTTTAATTAGTGTGTCTCATTGGAAAGGAACAAATCAGCTCAGCTACATTTTAATTATCTCTTCAAAAAAAAAAAAAGGTAACTCATGTTTCATTAATTTAGACCCACCAAGTCTCGTAAAGATAGAGACAAAATTACATAAAGAACCGTTAGGAGGCCACATACAGCCATCCAACAATATTACATTTTACATTACATTAATTCAATAAGAAAATACAATGAAGTATAACCTAACCCCAATTCTGTTTTCTCTATTTCCCCAGTATTTTCCCTACAAAAACAAATTGAAATGGTCTTATTTGAGAACTAAATATAAATGTGTATTTTTGTTTAGACTTGAACAAACTTTATTGGTCCGCTAAGGGAAATTACTTTGACACAGTAGCTCACTCATTAACAATATATTAAAAGAATTGCAAAAGAGAAATGGTAATAATAAATTATAAAAACAATAAGTAGCAAAAAATAGCATGAGACTGGTGTCAAGTAAGGGGTAATTATGTAAAAGTATATGTATAAGTAAAAATAAAAAATATATATAGAAATATAATAATAAACATATATCTCAGCTATATACAAGAGGTCGTAAGGAATGATTTTGTTTCTGTCTCTTCAGGCTGCGACTCCATGTTCCATGATATTGACAGTGACACGTCTCTGACCAGTTTAAGCGACTGTTTGATGACCACCCCAGATACGGCCATGCAGATTCAGAGTGGAAACCCTATTGACCACCTCTACTCAATGCACAGCTCCTACTTTGCCTCCTGAATCAATTCGAACAAGAATATGTGCTTGCATTTGTATATGTATATATGTTTTTGTACAGTAATTTAAGCTAATATATTAATTATTTACTCAATAAGGATTCAAAGCCAAAATTGTGAATATTGTGTCAATATTTGTTTCTACACTGGTCCTCAACAGTACAACAGGAAATGGACATTTGTTTGCATGTTAGAAGTTATTACATTTAATAAAATGCAAACTTCAATTACAGCAACATCCATATGTGAAGCATCAAACATGTCACAATCCAGTAGTCAGTCTTTATTTAACTCGATCTTGTGATCCCCAATTTATGTTATTTATTTATTTTTTTGTAATTCAGAATTTTGTCCAATAAAAATACTTTCGTAAATCCATAATTATTAATTAGTTTTTCTTGACCAGTTTAATGTAGAATAGTTAATTTATAGATTATTTTGTATTTTATTATAGAAATAAAAAAAATAATTTCAAATTAAAAAGAATGATCCTATAAATAAAGTAATAGGTAAAAACATTATGAAGAGTGAAAAAGAATGTAGAAGCAGGTGGGGTAGGGCTTGTTGCTCCATCACCCTGACAGCCTGACACTTGTGCTGCACACGTTTAAACGGTCTCAGAGTCATTCCCCTCTCATGTACGGCACAGTTCCCCTGCAGATATAACCCCTCACTTCACTCAGCAGACTTCCTTTGCTCAAACCTGTGTCTACGGGTCCTTCAGGCACATTACAGCCTGTCAGAGTAACCCTGAGTGAACCTGAGTTTAACTGAGACTGAAACATTTGAACTTTGACAAAGTTCTGTCACATGGATGACTGAAACACAATCAGTGTAGATGCACACAAAGACACAAACTTTAAAACACTGAGAAACTTAAGTTAACCAATAAGAATTACAAAGGGTAGCTCTAAGTTATTATAGAGATAGTTTATCTTTGATGTCATTGTACAATTGTCTGTACACTACAGTCTTAATTATATTATGTGTAAACTATTGTTTATTTAACAGACCATCTACCCACCTTCTGCCTCTACAAACACTTCAGCTCATTTAATTCAATATTCCCCATATTTTACAGTGTAGCAGATGCTCTACTTCCTCTGTATCTCATCAACACACAGTTCTCCGCCTGGTTTCAGTGCCCATAGACGGATACAGTATTTACTCAAATCTTTACCTGCCGTGAGTGAACGTCAGTGGAATAACTGCATTTGTTCCACTTCGTCAAATCAGTGGGAGAAAGACAAACAGACGCCTCTTTGCCAAACACAAGTGCACAGTCAGGGCCCATGGTTCCTGCTCATCCAGGTGGAAGATACAGAGACAGATGTCAGTGTGTTTCTTCATAATAAAGCCCAACATTGGATTTGTATGTTCCTGACAGGCATGACACAGGTGACGCTAGGGACAAGTGATCTGATCTGATATCACAAGCAGAAGCTCTTTGTGGTTGTTTGACACATGTTTATAATGTTTTGTATTATGTTCAGAGATCATTTTCATAGATCATTTTCAGTGTCAAGCTCTGATAGACAGTGATGCATCAGTTTATCCAGTAAAAGCAATGCGCAATGCAAATCAGAAGAGGCCATAATTATTGGTTATGATGGATGAAAATTATTCCAAAAAAGATACTGTGTTTGCTAATTCTTATAATTCTTTTTAGCACCTCTGCAGATTTTATCTCACTAACAAGACCACTAATTTCGACACATGACATTTTTAGCATTCTGGTGTATGGGACAGGAATACATAGCACATGTCTAATTGAAGAGTCCTCCTAGTCCCTCAGGCTCAGTTAGAGTTCTGACAACACTAGGGTAACACTACGGTAATCTGTCATCATGGCTGTAAGTGAAGGTGCCGTCATGATCGTCCACTCCAAGGAGAAGGCTCAGAGCACCAGAGCCGAGTGCTGAGTCAAGAGTACCTCAATCACTCTCTTTGATGAAGTGTGCAACCTTCTGAACTCTCACACATTACTGCCATACCTCTTCTCACTGCAGCCAGGTGTCTGTCACAACAGCAGTCTGCATCTGAGAGGCCCAACACACATCTACCCTCTATTAGTTTCTGTTGTGGAATGGTTTCTCTGACCTGAAGTTAGGCAATACTGTTCATTTATCCTTGACAACAGCTCAAGTCCAACACAAGACTGTCACAGACTGATCTCTTTCTCAGAAACTAAAACATGCAGGTATAGGTCATACATGGGCCAGGCCATTAACCAGTGAATGCATGTTTAATACATAAAAAATACAGAGAATTAAGGATGTTTTTTATGTAGAACAGTGTTCCAAAACAAACACTGGCATGCTACACAAAGCATTTAAAACTTCATGAGCATTCAGGTCCCAATCCACAGTCTGTCAGTGCATGAGGCCCACATGGCTATGGCCCAAACTGTAATGCGAGTTGTTTCCCAACTTTCGAGCTGGATTTGTTTATTGTTTTATAAAGAGCTCTGAGATCATTTGAAGCTATGGAATAATTTTAGGCTTGAACTTGTGCTGAGACCCAGGCTCCAGACCAGGTTCATTAATAACTCTGGGCTCCTGATGACATCAGCAGCACTCAGGAAGTAGGCCTGTCATAAACATTCAAGATGGCTGACACCTGTCGGCTTCATTAGGGCCATGATTAGGGCTCCCCGTGTGCCCAGAATGTAATAGATAGATGAGCATGCATCTAAAACTGCAAAGAAATAAATAACAGCTTCTGTTTCCAAAAAGACCAGACCAGATACAATATAAAGAGTATATTTTTGTAGGATTTGAGGTTGTGGATTTGTCTTTGTTGGGGGTAATTTATTAGTATCATAAAAAAAATGCTAAAATCAAATATTGACACTTTTATTTATAACTGTTTAAAAATTTATTTTAACAGTGAACCTTTATAAGTGCTCCCAGACACACCTCATCTCTGGAGAGTGGACGTCACTCATGACTCTCGTCTCTCATGTTCTGCTCTACTCTCAATCAAAAAGTGGATATAGCCCAGGTAATTGAGCCTTCAAATACTCTGTGCTACAGCTCAGTAAAGCGCTGGTCCCACGACAGTAACTTGGTGGGGAGATTTTAACTCAGCTTCACCTATTGATTGGTTTGTTATTAGTTTGGGGGCAAGTCTAGAACACAGGGGAGGTTCTTTAATAAAAATGTAAGCCACTGTGAAACATCCTCACACACTGATCACAAACCAGTAAAAAAGAAGTTAAAAACAGCTATGACCTAAAGTTTTCACAGCAATGGTGATGCTGTATTAGTTTATTGCTTGGTTACAGCAGTCCCAGGGAGAGCATTACTGACAATGGCAATGACAATTTCCACTATAAACATCAACAACTCACATGCAGTTTGTCTGTTGTCCAGCCTGTAGTATATGTGCCCCTTGAAGAGATTTAGGCACATATATTGAGTATTTGAGAAGATTATGTTTGACAATCAGACATAATAAAATCCAGCAAATAATAATGGTAAGGGTGGGAACATGGTGCAGTGCTGAGCCGGGCCAGGTTTCGAAATCCAGGTTGTGCAGACCCTTTCTGTGTGGCGTTTGCATGTTCTCCCCATGTCTGTGTAGGCTTTCTGCGAGTGCGGCAGATTCCTCTAACACTAAAAACATGTATGAACCTCTGGAGCCAGTACTCCCCTGAAAGTGATATTCTCAGAGGTTAAGTACATTTTAAAGAATTGAACAAATATAAACAAATGAAAAAGTTCAGAGGAAAACAAAACATGTGGTTCATATTTTCTCCTGTAAATCCATGGAAAGTGCAGCTCCACACTGAGGAAATCCCAGGTTAGACACACACAGATAAAGAAGGGGCAGAGCTACTCCAGAACTCGGCTGGAAAAACATCTGCCTTTAAAAAGCTTGTCTAAATCAAAGCAAATAATTACAAAATAAGCACAAGCTATTTATTATACATTACTGCAATTGAATAGAGCCTTTGATAAATTAATTGATAAAGTAATCCTGTTTTGGACGTTTTTTTTTTGTTTTTTTTTATTCTGAAGAACAATTAAACTAAGAACATCAAATAATTATAATACTTCACCATAATGCTAATGTTAAAAATAAGTATACTGTATAAAATTAATTTATTGTGATAGACAGCTAGACCCAAAACTTAAAATATGTGACAACAGATATGTATCAGATCTGAAATATTATCAAGTGTAATAAATGTTGATTTTAAATACTTTTACTTTTTGTCTTTTAGTACTCTGCATGTTGTGTGGTCTTTTGTGTTGTTTTATTTTATTTTATTTTTTTTGGGGGGGGTTCCCTTTTACATTATACTGTTTTCATTTGTTATTGTATCAGATGTGTTATTTTATTTTTTTGTATTGCTATTATGTGCAGCACTTTGGAAACTGTCTTGTTTATAATATGTGCTATATACAAATAAACTGGGATTGGATATACATAAGTGATATGACCAGGAGGAACATTATTCACAGGAGCTGAAGCATAGGCCGATCCCAGTCATCTCAGCACTTACATCACAGGCCAAAGCAGGATCTGCCTGAGCCACTCAGAAAACACATGAAAAGAAGATCTTATTCCAAACAGGTGGGACAAATCTAACATCTAATGAAAAGATGATTGGTTTGGCCTGTCTCTGTGCACATTTGTGGGAAGGAAACTGCTGCAATTTATCTCTCAAGCAGTTACCCAGATACACATCAAATCTACTACCATAAAAATTTGAATTGAAAACAAATACTTAATCTTTATATATTTACAAGATAGGGTACTATATAATCTATGAATTGTGACTATGTAGCCTCTTCAGATAGAAAACAACTCTTTTGAATTAAGCATTCCTGATTTTAATGAACAAATGTGATGATATGAAAATCTGTATTAGATGAAGAGAGGCTTGTCCCCCTGTGTTGCTGTCATGAGTTCCCCAGGGCCACAGTGAGCCTGGGATGAAGCAAAAGAGAGATGCACTATGTTCCCACTGCTATGATTTAAACCAACCTCAGGTGGGAGTGCCCAGGTCAGTCGATACTTTCAGGACTTGCCATAAGAAAGTCCCATTAGTCAAAATCATATTAAACCAAGCTTTATACTTAATTCATATTTTTTAACTAGCAATTGGAGGCACATACGGAACTGTGATGCCAGTTGCATACACATAAGTCACAAAGGTATGTCTTCATGAACTTAGAGCAAACAACAACCAAAAGGAAAAAAATCTATATATTTTCTCTCTTTTATTTATTTTTTGTTTCTTTATTAAAAAAAAGGGGGAAAATTGCCCATGGAAGGCTTCATAACTTTCATTATTTTTGGGCGAACTCTAGTGGCCATTTAGTATAGTGCAATGCAAGAAAGAAATTGCTGTCTTTCTTTGACAGAGATGAGTAGAGTAGCCAAAATTTGTACTTTGTTACGTTAAAAATAATATTTAAAAAACAAAAACAAAAATATTATAGTAAGAGTAAAATGCATCTGTAGAAACTATTTCTGAGCAACAGTTTGGATGTGACATACTTACATTTTTAAATATAAATGATACATAGCCTTGTTGAATAGATTTTCAATTGAAAAACCTTAAATGTAAAAAGGCTCCCACCTTTAACTGTCTTCTCTCAGAAACATTACTGCCAGGGGTCTATAGGGTCATACCAGCGTCAGTGGAGAAACACTGGAAAAATAATTATTACAATTATTATCATGCGCTTAAAATACCATCAGTCTAACAGTCTGTTGAGTGTGTAGTTTGAAAATGGGCTGAGATTGGTTTGGCTTACGCTGACTTACATACATTACTTGCATACATTACTTACATACATAATGTGTGAAGAATCCCTCAGTCGTCCAGGTAGAATCCATGAGGAGAAAATTCAGTTTGTCGACTGGACAAAAGTTAGTTTGGTTGAAGACGTTTCGCTGCTCATTCAAGCTGCTTCTTCAGTTCTGGTCAGACGCTGGTGGACACTTCCTTAAATCTGTAGGGAGGAGCTAACTACACTGAAACTAACACACCTACTTGTTTACAGTTTCTGTTAGTTAGTTCGGCCTATTGACCTGTGCAGGGTGTGGGGTCTAATTAGCATAACAAGCCATGGCCATAATGAAGCTTCCACACCTCTGGACCTGACCTGGCTACACCTATTGTTCTCTTGTTTGGTCTGAATTAGGTTTGAGAATGGAGTTATAAATAGGAGATAGATAGTGTCTGAGGCCTCCATTTCTGTTTAGAGAAGGATTCTCTTTCTTAACAAAAATGGCTTCTTTCACTCCCCTCTCAAACAAATTTTTCTCTCTGGCTAAAATCTGTACCTCACTGTCCTCAAAGGAGTGGCCCATGGCTTTTAAGTGGAGATATACAGCAGACTGAGGTCCACTGCTGCTCTCTCCTCTGTGTTGGTACATCCTCTTGTGAAGTAGCTGTTTAGTTTCTCCAATGTAGCGTTCACTGCAGTCTTCACTGCACTGAATAGAGTAGAGCACATTGCTTTGTTTGTGGCTCGGTGTTTTCTCCTTTGGGTGGACCAGTCTCTGTCTTAGAGTGTCCGTAGTTTTGAAATAGACCGGGATCTCATGTTGTCTGAAAATCCTCTGTAGTTTTTCAGAAACACCAGCCATGTATGGAATAGTTACCCCCTTTCTCATGGGTTCTGATTCTCTGTTGTCCTGTTTTTTAGTTCTCTTGGTTTTGTTGAAGGCCCATTTTGGATATCTGCAAACAGAGAGGGCTTCTGCACACACATACATAATAACACACATACACATTTTTGGGCTGCCATGCTTTTTAGGAACAACTGGTATTAATTGGACACAGGAGACCCAACCTAAATCATACTACTAATAAACTCTCTTAACTTTAAACCATACTGTTGAACTAATATTGAAGGATTCGCCTCTTGAGGACTCAAGGAAATGACACAGTGTGTATGCAGATATCAGTCCTTACATTGTGGTGAATACCTGAAATACTCACACATATCACGTACAACATGTTTTAACCCTATATATGACCTGTGATTTTTTTTTTTTATAATTACAAATATGTACGGAAAGTGGGTGGGCATATGGGGTAGGTGAGAACTGAAATTTTGTGAGCACTCAAGCCTGAAATGCAGGACAATACAAGATTCCTTTAACATGGATGAATCTGAATGTCTCCTTTACTATTTGTCCAACCTTAACCTAGAACCTAACAACATTAACCTATTTAACCCATATCTGAACTTTAAATCATGTTGTTGATCTAATAATTAAGGATTTAGGTGATGGGGACCTGGATTTTGTCCCCACAGGAAAGGCAGGTCCTCATAATACAAACTTTAAACCCCACAATGTGATAAATACCAGCACACATGTAGGATTTGTCACGCACTATAAATTCAAACATTCAAAACGGAACATAAACAAAAGGACTTCTTTTGCTTTTTACATTGGCGAAAACGAGGCATAACCCAAACCAAACGTACACTAAAGCCTACTGAGCCTGTAAGTGCTCAGTTAGAAAACCCATAGATCCATGATAAAACCCCGCTTAAAAGAAGATTGGATGGAGTTTAGCCTACCTTATCTCAGTTTTACTTTCACTCTGTCTGAGCTCGTGAAATGAAACAATCTGAATAGTTATTGTTGGCTACTAAGGCCTAGACTGTTGAATTATATTTTTAGTTTCGATGAGGACTATCAGTTTACTTCGAAGAGCTTACGGGAATGTCCATGCAAAGGGTCACGAATGCACCTGCGTCTGAAAGCCTTTGGCTGAGAGGCGCGCTGTGATTGGTCCGTCAGAGCGGGGGGCGGGAGTGCGCTGTGCAGCCGATATACTGATTAGGCCATACACCTGGCTGTCACACTTAGTGCGCCTACCTGTCACTTCCTGCTGTCTGTATTTATCCATTTCACTACTTTGCCCATCTAGAGATGGCCTCCCACGTCACTGCCATGTTCGGATGATATTGTTTTTGTAGATTACCGCACGGATCTGCGGTCCTGCGGATCTATCGCTGCGACCTTGGCTTCACACTCGGCTGAAAGGAGGAGTTAAGCCGTGGACAGTGTCGGGAGAAAGACCGCTGGGATTTAATCAGTGACCGCGGCAGGACAACTGTGGATGTGTTCTCTCTGCCGTTGTGCTGCGGCCGCATGGAAGCGAAAGTGCCTGCTGTGAAGGTAGGCTTAAGTGTTAGCCGTGATTACCCTAGTGCAGGCCTGGTGGTGGAAGAGAGGTTGGCTCGGAACGCCGTAAGCTGTCGTGACAGAAATCTGCCACACTGGATCCACAGACATGGCTGCTGCACTTACGCATTCCCCGAAACAGATCCGCAAATGTCATTTGTCTAAACACGTTAGTGTATTGTGTCTTACCGTCGACATCACCATTTACTGGGGCCTAATCAAACTATTGACCCTCCCACGCAAAGATGCCCAGAAAGACAACATGGGTAACGAACATCTACGCGCTGAAATCAGAACTAGGCTATTTAAGTACCAAAACGCTATCTCCAGTTAATTATGGGATGCGACTTCTTGTTTTTGGGCCTCTTGTAGATCTTTAGGATAGGCTATAAAATGACTGGTGCAGAGTGGACCCTCCAAGCAGACAGAACGTGCAGTGAACTGACCCTTATCTCGGTTATAACTAGTCTTCATCATAAGTCAGCAATAATACTATAGCTTTCATCAAATAAATATGATGGTTGGCAAATAGGTCTGCAATATGACACTACTCTTTCAATGTGCACACCAAAATAGTTGTTTCCATGGTTACTGACAAAATAGTCCTCTGAAACGCCTATGGACAGCTGCCCAATTAAGCAGTTGTTTTACCTATTTTGCCTTTCTTTCTTGTTCCTCAGAAGTAAATACACACGGTGCAGATTTCAGTTCAGGTTTATGGCGTTTGATTTCGCAGTAGAGATGTAGCTCTAGACCTATTAGATTACATTTATGTTGTAGTTGAAGTTGTAGTGTAACCATGGCATCATTTGAAAATGAAAGTACATGGACCCAGAGGGGAACTTGTGGGAAGTACCATCTGCTGTTCACTGGTCCATGTGTCAGCCCGTATCCATCCATCTGAGACACTCTTAATTTGTTGATTACTGGTCACTCACTCTCATGTTGATTTAACATAAACAAAATTAATTGTATTCACGCTTCCTTTTTGCTTTAAGGCAGGCATCATTTGCAACAGTGGGGTTACAGTGGCTCAGTGGTTAGAGTACTCATCCACCAACTCAAAGGTCAGAGGGTTGTTTCCCACTTGGATCAAATCCTTGCCAAGAGCTTCACTCGCCTTGTCTTGTATTGAATGTGATGTGTGCTTGAGTAATTGGTGGTCGGAGGTGGTGGTGGCGGCAAGTGGCGTAGATTTGTGCAAATAGCGTAAGGCAGTAATATACATATAAATATATAAATATATATTTTTATAAGACATTGACAAGTAATGATTGTATTCATTTGAGAGGATGGTAAAAGATTTCATGAATGTTAACTGGGTGAAACCTGTGAATATTGTTAAGTATGCTCCAGCCTTGCCCTGCTCAGTGATCTTAGACCCACAATGTGCAATTAAAGGCAGTAAATGCATGTGTCATCACCAGCTGCAATATACTGTACGTAGACCAAGACAGATGCACACTAAAGTCCAACCTGCAGTCCAACATTAGGCTGAACTGTCTCAGACTCAGACAACTGAAATCAGAGCAGCTCAGGACATGTTTACTCTGTGGTGAATGGGGATGAACTTGGCAGATGACAAAACTTCGTTGTATAATATTGAGAATAGCTGCAAAAAGAGTTGATTAAAAAAGAAAAAAGTACATGCTGTGTAATAATTTTATGCAGTACTTGTTCCTCAACCTAGAAAGTTATTGGCATGTTTTAGCAGATTTTTGATGAATTGTAAATATAGCGTTGTATTTGATCCCTTTATCAGGAAAAAACAATTTTATGTGTCCTCCCCTATCTCCTGAAATCTCATAAAGGTACAAAAAGTAGGATATGCACGAGCATTAAGTCAGTAGACAGAATAATGGGTAATATTAAATTGAAAATGGCATACGCCTCATTGTTATTGCTTACTATAAAAGTGGTGTGTGCCTGAATGATTGATGGTGGTCAGAAGGGTCGACGCATCCGTTAGTCTGCCCAGGGCAGCCATGGCTTCAATTTTGCTTACCATCACCAAGTATGGAGTGAATGAATAATGACTCCAGTCTATCGCTTTAAGAAGCTTTGGAGGCGTTAGTGTCATGTTATTATGATCATGTTCATGTATTAATGAAAAAAAGAAAAATCTAACAAAAACAGAACAACAGTCAAATCAAAACTAGTAAACAAGAGAAACAGTTTTTTACATGTGTCATATCTTTTCTCATGAGGCCATATCCCACAGTGGAATGTCAGGGTATAATTTTTTTATATTCCAAGTCTACTGTGACAAATTGTGCCTCACCTAAGTGTACACTGGTAATATTCAGAACTTCACATCACTCAAATTTATTGCTTCACGTTATGGGCTCCATTATAAAAACTGTTGTAATATCCAAACAATAATTTTACTCACCCAACTCAGTATCTCTGAAAAAAATTAATGAAAATTAAAAATTGTGTCTTGGTGTAGAAATAATGTTTGCAGCAAAAGGTGAAAGATTGTTAATAACGATAGGTTATTTCCACCAAAGTCATTGAGAGGACAAACAACCAAAAATAAAGCCTATTTATCGATACTTTCATTGTAAACTCCAGGTAGAGGACTATAGAGGTCCAAAGGGTGGTAGTTGTCTGGGCACTGTTCTGCATCATCACAATAACCTAAACTGCTCTATGCGCCTCTGGCCTCTACTGCATAAAATGCATATACAAACTGTTTTCCCTATAGTTTAAATCTGTGCAAACATGGTCTGAAATATATGTGAATCTTTTAATTAGTTTAGTTCTTAAGCCTATGTAGTTTTTTTGTCAGTTCTTCCAGACATATTTAAAACATTAATCTTGAGCAGAATTCTGTTATTAAAGCATAAATCACAAATCTTATAGCAATTAAATATTTTTCCCAAATCGTGCAGCCCTACTGTTAATCATCACCATTTAACACAAAAAATAGTCAAATAGTCAGAGGTTTGGCTGTAGACCTCTCGATTAAAATGATCTAAGCATTTTATTTACAATTCGAATTGACAGAATCTTGATCTCAGTTAATCTCAACTGATTAATTGCACAGCGTTGTAAAAATAATTCTATTTTTTACCTTTACCTGTTCAGGTCATAGATCACACCAGTTTATCTTTTTACACACTTGTGCTCTCGACACACTCTGTCCATACTTTTTTTTAGAAGTATAATTGCTTGATTCAGTCTATTTTAAAGTTTCTCAAATCAGAAAGTTTTATTTACCATCACTTGCAGTAATAACATTGGACTACAGGTGGCATCTGTGCCTTGGAAACGACAAAGCCAAACAGCTTCTGTGTTTGTGCTTTCATGGCACCGTAGGCCGGCCAGGAAACTCTAACAACCATTAGGACAAATCAGATAATTTGCACCAAATTGCACATCGTTGTTTATTAATTCACATTGATTTGTCTCATTGCCAAATATCCTTAATCTCTCTCATCTCATCAAAAAAAAATATATCTCAAATCAATGTGCTTTCTTTATAAATAGTAAAATCATGTTCATTGTGTGTTTCTTGTCAGACATGGATGAAAGGTTATGTGTGCTCCCCAGCTGAAGGTCTCTGTCTACCAGAGCACCCCCTACCTGTTTGAGCATGTATCGCAGGAACGGGCTATCGAATGGCAACAGCATCAACTCCATCACCTCAGAGGTAAGAGAGGTTACAATATACAGTGAACTTCACTCAATGCATATTCTGTGCATCACTTATAATTTAGCACATTTTCTAATTATAATTTGTATAAAAGGCTAAGCAAAAGACAAAAAATAATAATTTTACAACTAAAATAGTTGATTTATTCTTATGGGCTCAAATAGAATAAAAGGTCATCAGTAAGAATATAAAACCAAAACAGCCAAAGAAAAACAGACCCAAACTTATGTCATGATCAAACTGAATGAGGACCAGAGCTCGGACACAACATCTGGCCTGGTGGAAATGTTTATTCACTGAAATCATCCAATGGATTACATGATTGTAAAACAAACATTTTTCAGAGTTGCCATTTGTTGTCAGATTTTCTTTTATGTTCTTTAAACTATCTTCCATTTGAACTAAGCATGAAGGAGTGCTTAGGAGTATAAAATACTCCCATGTTATCTAAAAACAACCTGGACTATATATTGGCATCACACATTCACACCTTGTTGGCTAATGTATTATCTCAGACATTTAAAAGTAACTATGCTGGAGAAAAAGGACTTCTTAAAGAGCAAATATAAAATATATACTTCACAAATTGTATGAGATAAAATTATTCAGATCACTATCACAAAATCTATGGGAAACACTGAGTGAAATTTATCCATTTTAATTATGTCAATTTTTATTTGTTTGATTGTATGTCTAGGCCAGCAGCGCCTCTGACTCCCTGGATGGGCCCTGTGTGGACTATGCCAAGAGCTACGATGCAGTTGTCTTCGATGTGCTCAAGGTGACGCCCGAAGAATTTGCTGTAAGTTTTGTCTTTCACTTAAACTATAGTCTGTTTTGTGCTTTTGTGATATATATGTATTTTTTATTTTCTCCAGAGCCAAATCACCCTAATGGACGCTCCTGTATTCAAAGCAATACAGCCCGAGGTAAGACCACCCTGCACATTATAAGTGTGGTCATCCACTTGGGTTAAACTGGATGGAAATGCTGACGATTCTCTTCATTCTTGGACGACATGATGCAGTAATGTCCTTTACAGCTGTTGCCTCAGGAATGACCCTACTCTAGCCTCATTGGTTGAACTTGTTTGAAAACCACTTGCACCCCAAGTAATTCAAGTGACTATTTGAATTGACGTTTCCATAAAGACACTTGTTGTTAGTATATTTTAGATAATGGTTCATTTGAGCTGTTTGTTTTAGCAATTAGAAAGGGCCCAAAATGTCAGGCTGTTTCCTGTTGTGTGCACAGAAGTTATTAGTCATATTGCATAGTATTTTTTAACATATAAGGTGACTGAGGCCTTTGGAATATTAATAATAAATAAACAAATAAACAAATGTACTATTTATTTTTAAGATGCAGTTATCAGTTCAATTACACTGGTACAAACACACAGCACTTCATGCACAGGCATTTTATTTATATATATATATATATGTAAATAAAAATATGTAGGACATAATATAATAATATTTAAATCATAAAAAGTTTAACATTACTATGCTGATCTTGTTTTCTCCAGGAGCTGGCTAGTTGTGGCTGGAATGGAAAGGAGAAGCACAGCTTGGCTCCGAATGTGGTAGCGTTCACTCGGAGGTTCAACCAGGTACTGTGAGGCCATCCTTGTCCTCACTTATGTTTTTATACTATAATGAATATACTTTCACGACATATGAAACACACCTAGATGAGTTTGGTTTATTTATTTGAAATTTATTGTAAATGTATGTTTTTTGTGTGTTTTAGGTGAGCTTCTGGTTGGTTAGAGAAATCTTAACTGCCCAGACTCTGAAAATCAGAGCCGAAATATTGAGCCATTTTGTAAAAATAGCAAAGGTGAGTGTTTATAATTCATTCTTACCAATTGTAATTCTTTATCATGTGGAAATACATTCATATTTCATGGCATTTATTTTCAACACATATTGCTTTCCCAAACATAATAAAATTTAGGTGTTTTAGTGAGAATTATTGCCCTATTAAAATATACCCAAACTTTAGTGAAATCCAGATCATAAGCTTTAGCTTAGATCTTACCTTTTTAATTTGGCCTGCCCTATTGCCAGCTCAGCGTAATGTTTTGTTTTTTTTTCAGCTCCATTGGAGCTATTCTGTTTTATAAGACTGCGAGTGCTCAGAGAAAGCACCACACTGATGTCACCACACGGATAAAATGCTATGAACGGTAGCAGTTTTTCAGTGTTTCCTTATGCTTTGGGATGGAAAAGCAAACATGGAATTATGAGACAATATTTTGGCAAACTGTGCTGTTACTGATACTAAAACTGAACACTTACGACATGCAAAACCTGCTTGCTTTGTCATAGTTTTTACATTAACATGGGATGATATTACAAATCCCAAAGGATGTCAGTTCACTTTATAGACTAAGAGAGACAAATGGAAACAAACCAGTGTGTAAAGTAATGTGTGTATATTGGTGTGTTTTCATATTTTATGTCAGAAACTTCTGGAGCTGAACAACCTGCATTCTTTAGTGTCTGTGGTGTCGGCTTTGCAAAGTGCTCCCATCTTCAGACTCAGCAAGACCTGGGCGGTAAGAGCCTTTGACATGTTCAACTGTTTCACCAGATTTCATTACTGCTCCCTGTGAAGCTAGTGTAGTTTTGGTTAGTGTGAATTTTCAGGAAAGATCAGTAATGAGACAACAAGCAATATATTAAAAATAATCATCATCATTTATGTATAGCTAGAAAAACATTTGGATTAGTTTTTTTCTATCAAAATATAAGCATGAGTGAAGCGCTCAGGAAATAGTGCAGATAAAGTACAGTGGTGACTTGATTTAATTTATTTTTTGTTCTTTCTTCAGAAAGGCAACACAAATTAATCTTTATACAGCTTGCTAACATCTTTATTTTTTGCATTTTTGATGCAGTTGATCAGTCGAAAAGATAAGGCCACATTTGAGAAGCTGAACTTTCTGACGTCTAAAGAGGAAAACTATACTCGTATGAGAGAGTACATACGCTCGCTGAAGATGGTACCCTGCATACCCTACCTTGGTATGTTTTCCAAACATTTACCTGGCATTAAAATATAAAGGGCAAAACAAGATCTGTCTTCTTAATACCTCAATGTGTGTGTAGAGTGTTTTTGAGCTGTGGCTTTGGTCCATATGTGTGAAAGCTTTGTTCAAAGGCTGCCTGTTACTAATGTTTAAAGTCAATCATTTTGGAGTAATCTGGAAGCAATCAAAAGATCAAATTATAATTGTATGTATTGTACAAGCTATAGAAATAAATGTAAAGACTTTTACACACACATCCATACCTTTGGGCAAATGACACACCTCTTAACAGAAAGACAAACTTCTCTATTGTTGCTGTTAAAAAAGAAAAACAAAAAACTGAGCAGTATACAGCAAACTCCCCTAGCAACACTAGTTAAAATCTGTTATAATAAATAATCATTTAAAGCAATTTTAAGGAATGCAATGCATACTGGGGGTGTTATTTACAGTACATCCAATAATTGTAAACAATACTTCAATGTGTGCTGCTGTATGTTAATGGTAGGTATTTGCATTGGGGCGAATCATCATTGTCACTTTTTTCAGAGAATAAGCTCCGCCCCTGAATTCTGCCCAGTAGACCCCATCCTGGTAGCGACTGCGGTAATGTCCCCCTCTGTACCAGACTCCGTTCAGATTTGAGTGAGCACAAGCGTTGTACCACCAACCTCCCTTCTGGTAGTGGGCACAGTTACCTGTTAACACATACAAGATTTGTCTTTATCAAAGATTTTTGTTCTCTAGATTTGGTGGTGATTTTACTTAAACATTAGGTTTAATTTTGTTATTATTTATTATGTGTATTTTGGCAACATATACACCTTTTGTGACGGTTTGGATGGGTATGACTGGCACCAGTCCAATCCCTTTAGTAATTTTTAAAATAATAAATCTGTTTGTAATCAGGCCCTTCTCACCTGTGTATGCGTCATGATCCCGGTCCAGTGTGGTGAACTGCTTGCCGTTGTGCCAGGTCAAAGAATCACCTGCATTGCCATGGTAACGTCCAACACGGAGCCGGTAAAAATCTGTCTCCGCCTCAATCCTGAAGCTGGCATACTCTGCAAAAGTTTTGCGCCCAGACCAGTCCTCCAGTGTGACCAGCAGCTTGTAGGTGCCTTGGTTGGTCAGTGAGTAGATGTTCTCCAGGCCCAGCCAGTACTCCCCATTAATGTTCCCAAAGCCTTGCTGTGAAAAACATAGTTAACATTTGTTTTAAATTAAAATAAGAAATATTGTTCATATGCTTATAGTCTCATACTCTGTATTTGTGCAACAGGAGTTTGATGGCTATGTTGTCACAGTGCAAATAAGTAATAATAAACTCTGCACATATGAGAAATTAATATATATTTGCTGGTGATTTGTCCAAACTATGGGCCCAGCTTCTTCAGCTCAAACTTTGTTTAAGAAACAAAGTTGGGGAGGCACTGGGTTACATCAGCAGGATGCTGTGCTGCCAGAAGGGATTGTGTCATCAGACTGTGAGCCTGTTGGAGTCATTCAGGGAGGGATGGGAAGTGAAGTGGGCTGGGGAATAGCTCCCGCCTCCAACATGTCTTGTTTGGCTGCTCCTTTGTTTTTATGATGCTGTTGGAACTATTCAGTACTTTTCTCTAAAGACAACAGGATGGGATACTTTTGTATTACTAGAAAACACAACACCCTGTGCAGCTTCATTATGTAATGTCAAGTGTTCTTTGGGAATAAGAGAAAAACATTCTTTGACTGTAATATAACACATGATTTGAAATACTGTTCCGTTTAGAACAACTTTTAATATGTATTGCTTATTTGAACAAACCTACTGACAGTTAACATTATTATATAAGGGCATTCCAAATACACAGAACTTTGATTACCTTATATGTCTCCCAGTTTCTGAAAAAGTTGACTGACCCGTCCTGTCTTCTCAGGATTACTGTCCACCCACCGGGGTCATGCCTCATGTCACACCAAGCCTGCATAAGCTTGTTGGCATTTTCAGGTTTGAGCAGATACATGCCGTTGACACTGTAGCCATTGTCCATAGCTTGCAGACAGTCTTTAAAGGGGCCTGCACAGAGCATAGATTGCCTTTATCACATTCTGCTGTGTTAATTGTGCTCAGAGTTGGAACAGGTCCACGATCTGGGTAGTATAAAACGTGTGTCCTCTGGAAAGTGTGGTGACTCCTGCCCTCATCTTATTTTTTGCCAAACATGACGTTCTTTCCAGTCTGAAGCACTGGCTGTGCATTCAGACAGTAATAAATATTTCCATTAATAAAACTCCTCTGTACCTGAGAAGATATGACTTGGAAATAAATACAGCACATGAATTTCTAAAACATTTATGTTGAATGTGCCATGTTTAGATTTGCTCATATGTTCTCCTCAGTTTTTAAACTACGATTTCATGTGCATGCTATGTCATTTATAGTTAAGGAAAAATCTGTTTCCATTCTTTCAGAAGTCCCAGAGAGCATTGCTTCATGTCAGGGTAATTTTTACCCTATACTCAGGTTGTCTCTGGCACCTGTTTGGAAAACGGCCCCAAAGGATGGAAAAATCACTAAACTAGATGTTGGACATGGGAACATTTAGCGCAGTAGCCTGAGAACCTGCCGCATGCATTAGCTTTAATGTAGGTCAGCATGACACGCGTGAGCCAACACACTCCTATAAGATTGGTCTTTGGGGCTCTCTATAGTTGATCACATCATTTCTATTCCTATTTTATTACCAGATTTGTAAATGGTTCCTTATTGCTGTTTCCATCTGGACATTGTTTTTGTTATCTCAGCAATTTCTGCTTATCCCTGTACAAAAACAGACTATGTACGAATTCAAACATGCTCTATTACACTCTTTTCTTGCCTCTTTAACTTGTTGGCTCTTTTATTCCTAATTTATAATGCACAGTGGGATGTATTCCCATATGACTTGTTGTATTTGTTTATGGTGCATAGATTTTTGTTGTGTGGATTTAATAACATCTACTGTATTATTGATGTGATTGATGGCTTGAAATCAAGACGGTGCTCTTTTCACTGATGTGTTTGTGGTCATTGTCATTCATGGTTTCACATGAATTTTCTTTTTATGATACAGTGGCTGAAACTTGGACCTTCTGTATGTAGTTTAAATATTTCTCCTTGTGCCTGGGTGGGATTCCCCCGGGCAGAGGACAGATTTCTCAAGGAGGATAATAAAGTGTACCCTACGCTTACATCATGACCTCATCTCTTAACTATTTAATATATTTAATGTTATACAAACGGCTACATATTTGTGAGACACTTGTCAATGGTTACGTGTACATGTAGTGGTAGTTTCTGGCCTTTTGTGTATAGATGTTGTCTTGACATTGACATTTACACAATCATTAAATTACTATAAATAAATTATTATAAATGAAATTATATCCAGAACTCACCTGAGGGTTCATTGGTGAAGCTAGATGTGGAACTGGGCAGTGTGGGAGGAGGAAGAGGGGGCAGAGCCTTGGGGTTCTGGTCATTCTGGATCTCGTTGGTCATGGAGTTGGTCATGACATTGGTCATGGTTTTGGTGTTTTGTCGGGGTAGTGTGTGAGGGTGAAAGGGCCTATAGCCCCCGGGGGACAGAGCGGGACTCTGAGCAGGTGGGGGCTGGTGCACCACAGCAGGCTGCGGACGCAAAGAGGGACTCCGGTCCACACTGACTGAAGGGGAGTAACCTCCCCGTTTACAGCGCTCCTCTAGCTGCACCAGCAGAATGCTCTGGTTGCTGGCAATCGTGGACAGGTGCTGGTACTTGTGCTCCAGCTCCCGGTAGCGGGTGGCCAGTTGTCCCATTTCGTTAGTCTGGTTGAGCATGCGCGTCTCAAGTTGGGACACCTCCAGGGCATTGTCCCTCTTACGGATGATCTCGTGCAGCAGCTGCATGTACAGCTGGGTCACTCTGGAGTTCATGTTGCGGCTCTCTTTGCGCAGCAGTTTGACTTCGTTAACGATGCCCCCGTCCACCTCCACCAGCTGCTGTAGAGCTTCAATCTGTTTCCTCTGCTTCTGTAGCTCCAGGTTCAACAGCTCCAGTTCCTGCTTATGAACCCGGCTCTCCAGCTGAGCCTCCGGCTCCTTTGAGTTCACACAGATTGCACCATTGTTTTTCTGTTGAGGCACAATAAAAGTATAGGAGCATTTGTCTGTTGGGGTAGCACTTTGGGCAACAGTACGTTTGTAGCGTTGAGGGTAAATATAATCCTTCTCAAGGATGTCCTCACTGCTCTCCATCTCTTGAGTCTCCCCCTGAAGTGAGCAGAGTGGTCCTGACAGCAGCAGGACCACAAGGACAGGGACAAACATGGTCCTGAGCTGAAGTCCTGGAAGAGAAGAAATGGAAGGCAATGAAATGATCAGGAAATTATAGATTGATTCAAAGCAGTAGTCTGTGCTTGGGTTCTGGACAATATGGCAGGGACAAGTACTGAGACATGATAGAACCATTTGTTGGTTATTTTCCAAAGACACTCAGATCTGCATTACTGAAATATCTACTACTGAGAAGAACAGCGTTTCTCTGGATATAGTGATGGCTTGGCCTCCATTTTTAAATGATTAAGTTATTACATAGTCATTTGTATGGAAAAAACACTCTTGTCACTTCAGTGGAGTTCTTGACAACAAAAAACACCTAAATTAACTTAACCTTGGCTTATAATCAAATAAATTTTTAGATGTAAATTAAATGTAATTGTTGCTTAAGCGTAACATTGTGTAGCTAACATGTTTCATTTATTTGTCCAGATCTAAAAATACCTTCTGAGGTCACATGTTTAGAGCTTATTACCAGTTCTGGAAGCATTTATTTTAATTATAGTTGTCGTAATCGAGATTTGTGCTTCACACAAAGACTATAGAATATTAAATGTGTTAATATGTTTAGGCAGATTGGCAGCAGAGTGTGGCTAATGGGGCCTCTTTGTCTGTAAATAGATTTGTAACTTTTTTCTGTGTAAGTGTTTTCAGTTGAGAGTAAGTGGAGCTCTTTAAAAAGCCCTGCAGTGTACTATCTACTACTGTGCTGTAATGGAGATGAATTGGACATTTCCTCTGCGGTGCTCAACATAACATGCTGTAATCCAGTCAGCCACAGAAGACATGGGAAAACATCTCTTTCCAAGATTATATGGCATTACAAAATTGTATTTTTTTTCCCCAAAAGTTTTGCTTTTGCTTTCACTTAGCACAAGTGATCTGGTTGCTATATCATATTTTAGTTTAAAATAATCTAATGTCTCTGCAGTGATTCAGGGTCCAAGTTGAGGTTTATGTTGTTAGTGGTGATCAAGAGAACAAGCAGTAAGCAATCTATGCAAAAGCCACATCACTATCTGTCAGACCAGCTCGTAAAAGGTGCCAACTGACATTTTAAAGAGCACCTTGAATAAAATGCCCCCATAAGCAAAGAACAACCAAAGCAATCTTTATCATCTATGTCTGCACATCACCACACACACTTGTCACTTGTTACAGAGGAAAAATCCCTACGTAAGAGAGACATAGATGTGACATAAAATTGAAAAACTGTGAACAAGGGCATTTCATTTTTTCAAATAACTTATATAATTTTATTGAATCTTATCAAGATATCAGATACTAACAGATATTAAAACTAGCCTGGAAAATATACTTGCATAAATTTGACTAAATTGGACCATTCTTGAATAGTTTTATAATTGTCTTTATCAGAACTATATGGCCTCATGGTAAGATTAATGAAGCTACTGTTTTTGTGTTGAGAAATTATATTCTATTGTTTAAATTGTGTTATTATCATTGTGCTATCAAAATTGGCATCAAGTACCTAAACTGAGTTTGACATTTTACCATTGTAGTGTCTAGCAGCGACAAAGGCAGGACTAAGTCATTTACATTTGGAGGAAGCTGCGTTTTTCTGTTGCTTGTTGCTAATTTTTGCAAATACACATACTGCTTATTTGTACAGATCTTATTTCTGTCTGGCATAGTGTTTTTGTTTTTATATAGCGCAATAGCTAAATTGGCTATGGTTTTCCAAAAATGTATTTATATTATGACTTGTACAAATAGTTAATAGCCATAGTTGGCAATAATCAATAATAATGTTAAATCTCACCTCTACTTAATTCCATATATTCCTAGTATTTTGCCAAGGTGGGCTTCTGCGGTGATCCACATGAATATGACATCATTTCGTTGGAGAGTGAAATAAAGCCCAGTCCAGTTCCAGAGTGTGTTCAGATTGTTGTGAGCTCACTCATCTGCTGTAGCACAAAAAGGCAGCACAGCCCTCCTGCTGCCCCCCTCCCATCAGAAGTGAGCCTCTTCAGGAGTAATGAGGCTGAGAGCTGCTGGGACGCCTCCTGTCCCACCCCTTACACAGGGCAGTCCTCCTCCCTGTGCCCCTGTAAGCCCTCGTCCCTTATGGCTATCTCTGCTTTGTTCCAGTTGTATTGATCTCAGCAGGGGAATAGGGACCAGACGCACATGTAAGCGTCTTCTGGAGTGACAAGCCAGAGACAGGACTGGAGCATGTGATGGGTGACCTCTTGACTCCAATGTGACGAGACTGCTGCTTTGAAAGACATGTTCACAGACTTCATAATCACCTAAGTTGCCCTAAATGACCTTAGTGTTTTTGCGACAATCTACTATTAAAAATGGTAACTTTATTTCACATAGATTAACATTTATGGTATAACATTGTTAATTGTGTTTTCCTGGACAAGGGAAGTTATATAAAATCACTTTTTTTTTTTGTCCAAGTGAGTTTAATTTGTTCCAGCTTAAATTGAGCTGTTCCGAGACAGAGTTTGGAGACGCTTATTATAGAAATTGTTTTCGTGCAAGATATGCTGAAATGAGACACATTCATCTGATTTATTCACATTTAACCACACTTCTTGTTTCCCCATAGAAAAACAAACTGCACATTACTATCAGTGAATGAAAAGTTCTTCATTCAAGCTCTCTGCCTTTTCTTAATATCTCTTTATACTCACATAATAATCCTTAAAACTACTGTGTGCAAATGGTGCATGTTCAATCTTGTGTTCACCTTCCTTTTGAGTCTTTTGCTTTGATTCACTAGATTGTGATAAACAAGAGTCACACTCTAGTGTATGGTATGTTCAGCATGTGCTCTTTAGCTTTATTTATGTTTGTTTAGCATCTTTCAATGATAATTCAGAAAGACACAGAGTGAATGACAGCTGATCTCAGCACAGGTCTGTAGCTGCTTTAATGATTTAGAGCCTGGTCAGGAAGTGAAGTTGTCAAATTTTAGAGAGCATCTGAAAGACATTAAACGTCACGCTTGTGTCTGGGAAACCTTTATGGAAAATATTTGTTTAGTCCACTGTTACTATGTAAAACTCTTATGAATGAACATGTGTTGCCATCCTACCCGATATGTTCTAATCTACAGGCAATGAATGGAAGATGGGTGGAGATTTCTACTTTGAGGACAGAGTTGAGTAATGACGCTACCCTGATCCGTAAAATCTGAACAAGAGGACATGGAAATATTTCACAGCTTCTTTTAACTCTGAATTATGAGGAGGTGTAATGATCTGAGCCCAGTTTATTCAAACTGTGAAATGCTGCTCTTTGAGTTGGGTCCAGACACGGGCCTAGGTGCTAACCAATGTTTCTACAAGTGTTTTCCAACTCTCTTTGCTCTCATCTGTCTTTCATCTTTTATGCACCCAGTAAACATAGGACTTTCAGAGTAAATTAATGGCCATATTGTAGTTGGACCATGAAATTACTTTAATTTCTAAACTGTGCTGAACCATTTGGACCATCTCCAAAATGAACCTTAAATGAGAAAAAAAGCATATGTGGCTCTGTGTTGATCATCCAGTGTCACCAGGTTGCACCTAGTGCATGTTTGAGAATGTCCTTTATGAACTTTAATGATTCCCGCTCAGTTAAAACACAAATGAAAGCCTCTATTGAACTTGAATAGTCCCTGTCTCCACCCATAGATCACTCAGTAAGAAACATTTAGGTGCTTTTCATCATGTTGAGAAAGAAGCTTAACCAAGACAAACATAGTGGACAGAGACTGGGGTCAGCCTCATTGAATTCTCTTCCCGTTTGAGCAGTTCAGTATTCTAACGTCAGGACCACACATACTGACTGAGCATGTGAGAGGACATTTGCAGGAAATAGGTGAATGCTACTGGAGCAGAACCACCACAGGTACATGATGTGCCCCAGCTGCCCCAGCATTGTCCTCTGGAAGGTCAAGGCATCAGACCTCTGACCTTTTGGCATCTGAACTTTTGTTATGGGGCAAGACTTCTGTGAGAGAATGTTTCTCACTGTGCCGCTTTTAGGAATTAAATTGTCAAAATCCCTCATCTTAAAAAACATCCATAAAAGATACCTAATCCAAAACCATATAACTCCTGAATTACTACTGGTAAAAGCATTTATCACACCATAATGTCAATACTGTGAGACTGCTGTGTGACTGCAAGCTCACATAGAATTCTAAAGCCTAATATTGAACCAAAGGTCTAAGGTGTTCTACACACTGTTCCTGACAATATAAATACTACTTGTATTAAAATAAAATGGAAGATAATTTGAGTAATTCTGTGTGAATTAACAAAGTTTCCTATATCACTCAAACTCGAAGATGCAGAGAAAAATGATTTATTTGTACTTGCCAACATATAAATCTTGATTGTGTCACAAGTGAGGCACATCAGCTAACAAAGTTCTTCTCTTGTTTTTCATATTCCTCTTAAAATAGATGTACAGAAAAATACATTTAGAAAATGTTATTTAATTTTGGATTTCTGATTTGCAGGTAAGTTGTAGGTCTACTACCCCTCACCATTTCCATAGCCATGTTGGAAGCTGCCCTCATAAGTTATCCTTTGCTTGTAATGAAATGAATGTAACTTTGGGTGCCAAAGATGAGCCGCCTGCACAGGTGCAGAGTTGGTTTGCAGCTCTTTTTACTGGAGTTCTGTTACGTTTATTAATGCACATACCCCAGCATGTCCACCTGTGCCCTTTGCTCTTTCCAAGCCCTCGTAAAACACCTCGTCTTTTCCACATCCCATCTCCAGCTCAGGAGATGTTTCCACTAAACAGCATCTTGCCTCAAGAAGTGGGGGGGTGCATGTGTGTGTGTGTGTGTGTGTGTATACACTGACTAAAATAAGTATTTGAACACCCTGCTATTTTGCAAGTTCTCCCACTTAGAAATCTGGTCTGAAATTTTCATCATAGGTGCATGTTCACTGTGAGAGACATAATCTAAAAAGAAAAATCCAGAAATCACAATGTATGATTTTTTTGTATGATACAGCTGCAAATAAGTATTTGAACACCTGTCTATCAGCTAGAATTCTGACCCTCAAAGACCTGTTAGTCTGCCTTTAAAAAGTTCACCTCCACTCCATTTATTATCCTAAATCAGATGGACCTGTTTGAGGACGTCAGCTGCATAAAGACACCTATCCACCCCATACAATCAGTAAGACTCCACCTACTAACATGGCCAAGAAAGAGCTGTCCAAAGACACCAGAGACAAAATTGTACACCTCCACAAGGCTGGAAAGGGATATGGGGAAATTGCCAAGCAGCTTGGTGAAAAAAGGTCCACTGTTGGAGCAATCATTAGAAAATGGAAGAAGCTAAACATGGCTCCATGCAAGATCTCACCTCGTGGGGTCTCAATGATCCTAAGATAGGTGAGGAATCAGCCCAGAACTACACGGGAGGAGCTGGTCAATGACCTGAAAAGAGCTGGGACCACCGTTTCCAAGGTTACTGTTGGTAATACACTAAGGCGTCATGGTTTGAAATCATGCATGGCACGGAAGGTTCCCCTGCTTAAACCAGCACATGTCAAGGCCCATCTTAAGTTTGCCAATGACCATTTGGATGATGATGGGAGAAAGTCATGTGGTCAGATGAGACCAAAATAGAACTTTCTGGTCATAATTCCAATAAGTGTGTTTGGAGGAAGAAGAATAATGAGTACCATCCCAAGAAAACCATCCCTACTGTGAAGCATGGGAGTGATAGCATCATGCTTTGGGGGTGTTTTTCTGCACATAGGCAGGGCGACTGCACTGTATTAAGGAGAAGATGACCGGGGTCATGTATTGCAAGATTTTGGGGAACAACCTCCTTCCCTCAGTTAGAGCATTGAAGATGGGTCGAGGCTGGGTCTTCCAACATGACAATGACCCGAAGCACACAGCCAGGATAAGCAAGGAGTGGTTCAGTAAGAAGCACATCAAGGTTCTGGCGTGGCCTAGCCAGTCTCCAGACCTAAACCCAATAGAAAATCTTTGGAGGGAGCTCAAACTCCGTGTTTCTCAGCGACATCCCAGAAACCTGACTGATCTACAGAAGATCTGTGTGGAGGAGTGGGCCAAAATCCCTCCTGCAGTGTGTACAAACCTGGTGAAAAACTACAGGAAACGTTTGACCTCTGTAATTGCAAACAAAGGCTACTGTACCAAATATTAACATTGATTTTCTCAGGTGTTCAAATACTTATTTGCAGCTGTATCATACAAATAAATAGTTAAAAAATCATACTTTGTGATTTCTGGATTTTTCTTTTTAGATTATGTCTCTCACAGTGGACATGCATCCCTCCATGATTTCTAAGTGGGAGAACTTGCAAAATAGCAGGGTGTTCAAATACTTATTTTCCTCACTGTATGTGTGTGTGTGTATGTATGTGTATGTATGTGTATGTATGTGTGTGTGTGTGTGTGTGTGTGTGTGTGTGTGTGTGTGTGTGTGTGTATGTTAAGTATATTATAAAAGAACAACAGCAACAACTTTTCTTAACATTCCAGACATGGCTATTAAAGTGTTCAGAATTGACCAAATCCTCACAGTACAAACTGTGATACAGTAGGATGAGAGCTGACAGCTGTATTTAATGGCAAAATACTGTTTATATTTGTGTTAACATTCAAATTCTGCATGTGTTTTTGTAAAGCTGAGCCATCCTCGCTGTGGAGCTTTAGTTGTACACATGAAATGAGGCTTGTGTTAATTTTATTCCCTTCTTGTAACATGTTCCTGTGTCAGTGACCTCTTGAGGAAGCTGGACATTATATGGGGCTTTTGTTTTTATTGTTTTCCGTGACATCCTATGCAGGGCTCAGTGTTAGTCTTACCTCAGACAAACAGAATTTAAAATGTCTTTTATTGGGACTGTTATGGCAAAACACATAAATAGATGCTCACTTACAGATCTGTGTGGTATTAGTGGCCTTTAACACAAATCAGTTTGGGTCATTTAATATCGGTTGCTACCTTGACTTGTTGGGATCATAGAAGTTGTGACCTTGAATACCATTTAATGGCAGTTTTAAGGCTCCTTTCTACAGAGACCACATGCTAATTTCTTACATGTTTTAGCTAGATTTCTAGGCTTAACCACACATACCAGCTTATGATATAAGACCAACATTGTTAAACCTGCACATTACTCTGAGGAAAACCATGATCATGGCTTGTGTGTGTGAGTGGTTTTATTTGATGTTGTTTTATTGTGTGACTGCAATCATTGTTGTCAACATATGTTCAACATCCGAACCAGCTGTCCAGTGTAAACAAATGCATAACCGGTATTATGAATACAAGGGTCCTGTGGAGCTATTAAATAAAGCCAGAAGTCTCTAATTATACATTTTCAAAACACAGTTGGGGATTTAAGAGCAAAGCCAGACAAATGCTGAATACTCCTCTGTACTGGCATTTAATGAACCCTTTCCTCTGAAACCTTTTCCTCTTGTGATCTCACTAAGGATTTACTTTATTTGTTTTAACAACAGCCTTACATGACAACTGCATGTGCTTTGATTTGGAATGCAGTACAACTATAAATCATTATTTAAAGGTGCATTATGTAACTTTTCTGGTAGAGGGTCAGATCTGAGCAATAAAAACACCTGTAACCACAAGACTATATGTCACTATATCTGGTTTAATCAGGAAAAGGGTCAGTAACATAATATGCAGATGTTTGCAAGTACAAATGTACAACTCTCATTTATTTATTTTTTTTCTAATTGAACCAACACACTGCACACAAAGAGGAGCAGTGAATATCAAAAAAAAGGGAATAATGGAATCTCTGTGTTGTGTCTGTCTCTGTGTAGATCAGAGGAAGTTGTTCATTGTCAATTCTTTGCTCGATTCCTTAGTTTTGTTTAGTTTTTTTAATTCAATGACAATAATCTATCCATATTACATTACCACTAAAATAATTCATTATATTATCATTACTTTCTTCACCTCAACGTTCTTCCCCTGTAAAGTGCATACAGGCCCCTTCATTTGACCTGTCATTGACTGGGAGGCCACCCTGCGCTTGAAACCTTAATACAGTATAATTCATGTGGGTTTAACTGGAAAGATGTTACTCAAAGACCAACAAGACTGTCACTCAAGGCTTTTCCAGTGTACCATAATGCCAGCTTTGAAGAAACTGTGATTATTGGTTTTATTTGGAAAGTTAAACATAAGAATAACCACATGAAACCTATTCATTTTTACTGTTTCACTAAGTGCAGAAGAATTTATATGCTGGTGTCTTACCCTCATATATGTTGGTGGTTGGCCATGATGTCCATGGATATTTTAAAGGTGTAATGGTACATGTATTTGTGCCTGAACTGTTTTGGTATGAGACGTTCGGTTCGGTGCAGGGCTGTGCATGAGTGAGTTCCCTCAGTTTGTGTGTGTTTACATTCTGCCACTACATGTACAACTACGACGAAAAACTCGGCTCTTTAATATTCAGGAGGGAATTTGTTGCTTATTTGAGAATATTATTTGTATGTATGTGTGTATGTATGTGTGTGTATATATATGTGTATATGTGTGTGTGTGTGTGTGTGTGTGTGTGTGTGTGTGTGTATGTATATATATACACACACACACACACACACACACACACACACACACACACACACACACACACACACACACACACACACACACACACACACACACACACACACACACACACACACACACACACACACACACACACACACACACACATATACATATATATACGTATATATATGTATACGTGTGTGTGTGTGTATATAGATATAGATAGATAGATAATTTTATTTATATATATATATAATAAGAGAGAGAGAGAGAGAGAGAGAGATAGATATGTATGTAATTTATTTATTAAGCCGATTATATGCACACTCATATCTGACATTCGGAACATTTCTACTCAACTTTATAAACTGTACACAGTAATTAAGACAAATTATAGGAAAGTTTGTGACTCGTCGCACATTGGCATTTATTTTATGACACATTTCTGGTAACACAGTTGACCAAAGGAAAAATGGAGCACATCAGATCTTTCAGCTCTTCAGCTTAAGTTCCATGGTACAAATGAAATAGTGTTCAGTTCTTCTCATAATGTGTTTCTGTTACAGGGATCTACCTGCTGGACATGATTTACATAGACTCGGCCTATCCTGCGTCAGATAGCATCATCGAGACGGAGCAGAGAGCCAATCAAATGAACAACCTTCTGAGAGTCATTTCAGATTTGCAGATGTCCTGTAACTATGGTAAGCTGTGTGGACTTGTACTGATTAACTTCAGTGCATTTGACTGTATTGTTACGCATTGCCTCTTGTGCCGTATTCTATTAGTTTTGCTTCACAAACCCGATACTTTTGGGCTCCCCTTAGATCACCTGGTGACCCTGCCGCACGTCCAGAAGTACCTCATGTCTGTACGCTACATCGAGGAGCTGCAAAAGTTTGTGGAGGATGACAACTTTAAGTAGGTTTCAGAAACACTTTGACAAAAAAAACATTAAACACTGATGATTTTAATAACTGCTGTAGGAATGTGTTAGAACACAGATGTGTATAGAGGGGGTGCGTCACAGGAAATAGACAGTGGCTGTTTATTCTTCTCCACATGGAGCACTCCTAATAACTTTCTCAGCCACAATCACAGTGCAGGATTCTGTGGCCTTGCTGTTGAACTCTTTCTTGGCAGGTCTTTGATAGCTTTGGTTTAGCCCTTTTGTCAGCAGTGCATTGATCTATCTTAGCAGACATAGCTCAAATGATTATTCACTCTTTTTTGTTGGCTCTTTTTTTGTTCCATCTTGTTACCGAATAAAATAAAAGGTGGAGTTTCATTCATTTGCCAGATTATGTAACTTTTTGTATGGTAAAGGAACACACTTTCCAATATAATTAGGCTGATTTCATAAGAAAAACACTGCACAGTTAAATTAACCTGTAATAGGTCAAACATATACTACTACTGAATAATAATTTTCACATTGCAAAAAAGATCTGGACTTGGAAAGTCAAATAATGAATGTTTGAATCTGTAACTGCTTTTGACACTAGGTATTCCATCAAAAGTGCTCAGGAATGTGTAATGAAACACATTCTCGTGAAGCTGACTCATGCTATAACAGAAAACCAAAAGAGGCAACAATCAAAAAAATAAGTTAGTCATAGTGTTCAAGACAAAAACACAACTCGCCCCCAGATTAATCCACTTGCTAATGTAAAAAATTTAAATATGCAAAAATAAGGATTTAGTATGGTACTTCACAACTAATGACTGAAATTATGTTCTTAAGTATTCTAGTTATGTTTTTGGTTATATTGATTATTTTCATTTACTACATGTAAAACTAAACTCTGTTAAATCTGGTTTAAATTATTAATGTCAGCGTTTTTGCTACTGTCACTCTTTAGTCAGTATTAAGCATGTCTCTTTGTAGGATCTCTCTGAAGATTGAACCTGGAAACAGCTCCCCTCGCATCGCTTCATCTAAAGAGGACCTTGCAGGTACAAGACTGTTAGATCATCTTTTGACTAAACACTGGCAGCTGTGTCCACAATATATGATATCTCAGCTCTCTTTACTCCTCTCAGTTTATGACTTTTTTTAGGTTTGGAAAATTTGCACAATATAGTTCGTCTACTTATTATTTCATTAGGTTTGTTAAAAATTATTGCTCATGTTAAAATGAAGAGGAAAGTCCCTTACTTAACTGTTGATAAAGCAGACTAACCACAAACTGCTCTTCATCGCCTGCCAAGTGGAGTCTTAGCAGAAAAGGGCTGTATTAAGAAAATGTGACAACTTCAGCCAGGCTCCATTGCATGAGCCATGTTTGTGGTGTTGAGGAGGCTGAGGTGAGGTAATGCATCTGGAACACGCCGGGTTTAGGTCAAACTAATGAAAAAAGATGAACCACATCAAAGTGCCACCTTTTGTGCATGAGACGTTTACATGATTATAGGAAATTGAGATGCTAGCAGCTTGAACCAATTGCATTCAAAAAGTTGTACTATTGTACTATCAGCTACTAGATCAGTGGTTTTCAGTACTTTGGTGGTATATTTCTGGAGGTCCTCAGCAGTTAATAAAGCCCTTTTATTTTGGTATTATTTCTACTTAAAAATACATTGTGTAATTTTTCTGGTAGAAGGTCTGTCAAATGCTTTTCTCCATGGAGATGTTATTGCTTTGTCTGGAATGTTTCACAGTATGGGATTAAAGCTTTCCATCTTCACTGAGACCAAACCAGATGAAATTACAGGTCACATCTGTGTAGAGGCAACCCCGTCAGAATACATGTTTTTCTAGTATTTTTGAGCTGTAAAATCACCTGCAATTTAATAAATGTAAGGTAGAGCTGTTTAATGTCATACTGTGGAACATTCCAGGCAGAGCGATGACGTATCCATGGAAACAAACAGGTGATGAATCCTCCACCAGAAAAGTTACATAATGCACTTTTAAGTTAGAGCTTGTTCTGCTTTAGGTACAACCCATTCATTGAATACTGCTCACAAAAAAACTACAGCTATTGAGCTATTTTACAGTGGACTGAATCATAATGAGTGTTTGTTTCACAGGTTTCAGCTTCCAGTTTCAAGGAGACTGTAATGGCAGTTTCAAATCCACAAGCTGCCTCTATAACTGAAAAGACATGGCTTTAGCTTGGTTCATATGTCTCAAGTGAAAATGGACAGATTCAATGTCTTAACTTACAGAATATTGTTTATAGGGTTTAATTAATAGTAAGCTGGCCACATAGCCCATCTGGCTATGAGCTACAAGACTCCAGCCCCAAAGGTTCCACCGTAAACACCTTAAATAAATGTAGGACAAAATGGCCTCTCCTAGAACATTTTGAGGACTTTTAACCAATCAAAATCATAAATTTTTCTTCACTCTGAATTCTATGAATATCGACATGAAGTAATATTGTGCCACACTTATTGGTCTTACTGTGTATTGCGGAGGCATTATTAGCGTGACCTCTGGATACATAATTTTCCATGTTCTCAAATGTGCAGTCTTTAAAAATAAACAGAATGTTGAGTGTCCAGGATGTACTTAAAGTTTGCACTGTGTTTTGCAGATGTGGAGCAGCTTGCCTGTAAATAGTGAAAACGTGTCTGGTCTGTAATATTCACTCATGTCTGTTTATTCAGTCATAAACAACATACCAACTTTGTCCATGGAGGATCATAAATGCATGCAATTGAAAGCAAACTCAAGCAGGCAGTTATAAAGTGATCATATTTCAGGTAAATAATTTAATTGTGGAGTGTGTAAAGTTGGAGCTGACTAAATTGTCCCATGAACAGAGCCGTTAATAGCCCTTTGATTACAGCAGTGTGTTCAGGGACCACAGTGATCACTTTCCATAGTCTCATGTCCAAATGACCCGCCACATGTGGGGGTTTGTTTGCTGCTGTTACTGTGGCGACCATTCTTTTTGTCTGCTTCCACTTAAGACGCATTTTAGTCCTATGTGTTGGCTGAGTGGGTAAAATAAAAATTTTACATTTCACAGCTACAGCTTCTCAAGCAGGACCAAAACAAATAACTGTCTTTATCAATGTGGGTTCCAAAGGTTTTGTAACATGTTGGATGTGATTTTTATTTTATAAAATATAAGTAAATTGCTGGTTAATTTGGTTTCTGTGACCAAGCTTAAAAGTCTATATTTATTAAAACTTTGAGCCAATGTCTGGTCTTAACAAACATTACATGAAACATGTTCTTATTTAGTTTTTGGATCAGGCTGGAGTACTCCTTTGAGAAGCACATCGCGTGAGGCGGTTTAGTGACATCAGTGAACTATGCAATGATGACTCTTCTAAAAGACACACAGAACACAAGTTTCACAACACTCATCCTAAATTAAAGAGCAGCACAATGTTTCATTTCTAGTAACCTGTTTCAAATTCAAGCAGAAAAACACACTTAAAAAAACACTTTTATCACTGAACTCAGATGAAGGAGCTGAGTAAGCACAGAGCTGCTCATGTTTGGCTTCAAGTGAACGCTAATCATCTGGAAATTACTTCTTTAAAAGCTCTTGCCTAAAGATTTTCAGATGTTAAAAATAACATAACTGACACAGAGACCTCATCTCACATTTAGGAAAGAAAATCCCAACCACAAACCACAATAAAGTCAAAATAGTGCAATAGTGTTTATAAAAGCTGAAAATGTTGTCAAAATAAAATACTTTCCTCATACCTTTGACTGTGATCACTGCTGACGAAGCACACCAACCACATATTTATTACTTCAGACTTGACTAATTAAAGCACATTAAGGCCCATTTGCCTCAGGGATCACTTTATAACCCACATTACATGGACTCCTACTACTTTAACGGCATCAAATCATTATTGTGATTAGCCATTTGTAAATGAGCAAAAGTTTCCTTCTCATTAACAGAAGAGTTTGCTCACTAATTTGAACTGATTCCATACAATACCACCAGTTGGAATGCATGGATTTCAGTTACCAACCAGATCAACAACAACCAGTATGTTCTGTGTTTCAGAGAGAGCTCATTATTATTTTTTTGTTTGATTTCCTTTTTTTCTTTTCAAAAACAATATAGTAATGGCTATCAAAATTCATAAACATAAACAGGATAGACTAATCGTACAGTTAACACAAAAAATAAGCCAATTACTCATCCAATGTCCAAATTCTGTTCCAAACCACATGCCTTTACTGACAGAGGACTGGCTGTAGACAACTTGATTAAAAACACCCAAGATGACCATTGACGATAAGATATGACTGAATCTTGAGCTCAATACAAATTCTGTTATTTTGCAGCTCTAGGGGAAAATAACATGTTTCTGTGATGGCAATTAGTTTTAAAATGACTTGAAATTCAGTTCACAGTATTCTAGACAGAAGTTGGAGTTTGTACTGTATCTTATTTGTACTGTATCTTGTACTGTATGGTTATGGTTGAATTTTACCAGGGAAAGCGCTGGTAAAAGATCTCAATGTCAAAATAAAGGCTTATAAAGCTTCATACCATAATGAATTTGGCAAACTTCATAATACTGCAGCCTATATGATGGTCACTGAAGGGCAGAATATTTTAGCACAAATCTTCACCACTTGCTTTCAATAACTACTTGTGTTTCAGGCCTTTCTGAGGTCTCTGTGTCCATGAGATACAGCCGACGGCCAACGTGTCCTGATGCATCTGTGGGTGTGCGCATCCCCACACCCCCTCCATCTCATCACAGGAAGAGCCACAGCTTGGGAAACAAGTGAGTAGCACTGCTGCTTTCCACTATGGTGCTTAAAAGTGAGGGCAACTTCTGATTCTTGAAATAAAATTGCTCTTTTTTTTTTTTTTTTTTTTAGAAAAGTCTGTGGGGAAATCTGTTTGCCTTGTGAAACCATATGCCCCATATGTACTTAACTGTACTTAATTCCAACAGCATGTACTAAAGATGATCTGACTTTAAGGATGATTTTGTCCACAGTATGATGTGCCAGTATGGCATGTCTGAGAGCCGCAGTGCCACATTTCCCATAGAGAAAGCACGCCACCTGCTGGACGACAGCTTCCTGGAATCCCAGAGCCCCGTCAGAAACGATCCACATAGTACTTCAGTATCCAATGGCCTCTCACTCGGTGCGTTGTGGACTTTTATTATGCTTTTATTGAAATGTATGAATAGTTAATTAAAAGTATGTTTATTAACAGGAAGCAGTGAAAGTTCTTTTGGTGAAGAATTGTCTCCTGGAATAGGAGAGAGGTGAGCAATAATAACTATATTATGTGTGTGTGTATGTATATATATATATATATATATATATATATATATATATATATATATATATGTTATGTGTGTGTATGTGTATATATATATATATATATACACACACACACACATATATAAAATGTGTGTGTGTGTATAAAATTTGTTTGGTTATTTTTATAAACTCTGATCTGATTTAATTAGTGTTCACCCTCAATACGAGACTAGACATTCAATGCTCTCACAATTCAGAGCAGATAAAATTAGTGTTGTGTGTGTGTGTTAATATAGATGTTAATATGGTGTAGAAATATCTGCTCTGAGCCCACATTGACTGTGACACTGTGAAAAACAGGAGCCGCATGTATGCCACACTGGGCCCAAACTGGAGAGTCCCACTACGCACCTCGCCTCGCAGTCGGAGCTATGTTTTCAGGTACAGTCAGAGCTCTGCCCAATAACCACTGTCTATCTCCTATATGCATCTTAGTGACTGACTCTGTGTAGTCATCCTCACCTACTGCTTTGTATGTTACCATCCAAACACTGATATTAACAGGAGTTTTGTCTTATTACACATACTGATAAATATTACTATTAGCTATAGAACTTGGGTTTACAGTATTACATTATTACATACCTCCATATATTGTATAAATCTTATCTGTGCTTTAGATGAGGTATCCATTGTCAATATGCTTTGTCTTGAGTTTTCTGAATTTTGAGAAAATGCTTTTTTTTTTTTAAATAAAAAGAAATAACCAAAGTCCTGTTGTAATCTTAACAATGTCTTTGTTTATAATTTCATTGGTAGCTCATCTCCTGGAAACTGCTACAACTGCTGTGAGGCCAGTAATGTGACTATAGAGGGCCCACTACGGAGGAAAACGCTGCTAAAAGAGGGGCGCAAACCAAAGGTGAAATATTTTGCTATGTATCTGTCATCACAACAGGCCTCAGAATGAGAATTGAAAATATTACTTTTTTTCTGTTTGTAGTTGTCATCCTGGACAAGGTTTTGGATTTCTCTATCAGGATCAACACTCACTTTTTATGGTGCGAAAGCACTTAGAGCCTCTGAGAGAAAACATGTAAGTTTGTAGACATTAGTTAATTTAATATGGCAAAGGCTTGTATAATAAGTTTTATATGTGTGCTTAGTATAAGTCCAGTCCTTGTAAGAAGGTATGTGTAACTGGCTGGATGGTGGTACTACCAGACGACCCTGCCCGACCTAACATTTTTCAGCTAAATGACCCAGATAAAGGTACTATATAGGTGATACTCTAAATATGTTATTTATTTTGTTGGTTTGTGAGTTTGCTTCTCTCCTCTCCTGCTAGGCAATGTTTACAAGTTCCAGACTGGATCCAGGTTTTCGGCAATCATCTGGCACAAAAATCTGGAGGAAGCAAGCAGAAGCAGCAAACCTCAGGTAAAAAACAGTGGAAGCCAAGTCAAGTTTAAAGACTTGATCAGCTAGTTTCTTCCCATTGCATACACTGTATTCTTTCCACAGATACCAGCAAACCTGATGTCATTTGAGTGATGGTGAACTCGGCTTGGGGGACGTTTCTATGCCAAAGCTGCTTGGACTGAAACAGAAGGGATAAAGTGGACAGGTGATGAGCATCTTGTTTCACCTCTCAGATGAAGCTGTGAGGTGCCCTGTGTGTATTTGCTCCAAGTTTGTTGTTCACTGTTGACGTGATGCTGCTGTGAAGATGCGAGTGAGCGTCATGGCCTGGCCCATGTTGGGTTTCCGCTGAAGTGGGAGCACCTTCAGCACATATGCCTGGAGAACAGTGTTAGCTTAAGTGTGCCCAACATCTGTGTTCAGTGTTATTGAGACTCTGTTATGAAACACTAATGATGTGAATAATAACAAACAATTTTCTTAAAATTGCATTTCAACTATCATCTTAAGAAGGAGCAACAGTGATATCTGTTCTGCTCGGAAAAGCTAGTATTGCATTAATATACACATATTAATGCAGTACTGGCTTTTCAGAGCAGGCTAAAGTATGTTCAAAAAGCAAAAAGAACAAGAACACTGGATATCTAATATCTCATGAGAGAAGGAATTGTGTGTATTTTCCCTTTGCTACCTCAGCCGGTAGTAGTCCTGATGTAGTTTTAACTGAGGGATGCTTAATAACATGGGACATAGTGACACTAAAGAAAAATATAATGGTTGAAAACCATAACAATAGCAATGTCCAGTCATTCTCAAAATAACACATTTTCATGCTTGTTTGAACTAAAGCAATTTACTAAAGAAACTAGCTTTTACAATCATGTCCTTGTAAATACTGTATTTATTTTAAATGCTTATTTTGCATATTTGACATACTATATGTGTAAAGGTACTTTCAAGTTCTATCCTCTAGAAGGACATTTTGGAGAAAAAAACTTTTAAATGTATGTCTGACCTGAACACAAATTAGACCAAACAAAGTCTAAACATTATTCGTCTGCTGCATCACAATTTTACCATTAATAAAAGACGATATCACAAACTTCAACATTAATGTAGTATAAAATGCACTGTTTCCTTCAGTATGGACACAGTTTCTTAAATGTATTTCACTGGCTGCGGTTACATGGCTTTCAAAATCTGATAAATATCACATTTTTTGAGTTATAAGATTATGTAAAACTAAAAAGCAAAGTCATCTAATTTCCCTCTGATAACTCACATCAGATTTTGCAGTTTACATTCGAGAAATCTTAAAGGTCCAGAAATCAGATTCTAATCAGATGTTGTGTGCATGAGAACAAGGCCACTAATGCTGTTACAGTCTTTATCTAATCTGAGCCAAAATATTATACCTGCAAAGGCACTGTCAATCATTTAAAATGTCCAGCAGTACTGATTGCTAGATGTCAATGAAAAACATATGAAATGTACTGATCCTATTTTTTCTAACTACAGAGACACCAACAAACAGCCCACATGTTATTTTTGAGGTGCTTGGCTAATTCACTTGGTATGACTGTAGGCTATTACCAGTATTGGAGTTTTAATTTGCTTTGTTTTAATAATAATACATATTTCTAAAAAATGTGTATGACAGTGACTACCGTGTTTTTATTACTATTATCACTTGCTGCTCAAATGAAAGATCTTTCTTCGCAAGATGTGTCAAGAAAATGTTCTAGCAAATGGTCCTTGTTTATGATCAAATGAAAACTATGAAGATGAAAAAAATATATCCAAATGAATCTGTGACTAGGCCTGGGCTGTACAAATGTTCTGCACAGTTTGACTTTTTTATTCTGAGCACTTTTATGAGGCATGTTGCTTCAAATGTTTGTAATCCATTTGAACAGGCCTGTCATTTTGACATCCTGGAACTAAATAATGAAATTGTTAGAGGAAAAATACGTTTTACCATTGAAACTCTCTAAACATTAATAATGCTCTTGGAGCTGTTTTTCTTTTAGCTTTCATTTGGTGTTTTAACCTGCCAATCCAATTACACATGATCTGCTCAGATCTGTGTGTGTTGTAGTGACAAATACTTGTCCATGAAGTATTGCTTTAAAATGTGTTTACATCATTTTTTATTATTTTTATATAGTTTTATAGTTTTAATACACTTTGATATTATCAAGTTCAGTTCATGAGTAGCACCTGTACGTAAGTAAGTTTCTAGTGTCATAAATGAAAACAAACCACTGGATTGTGTTGGAATGTTTTTTGTTTTGTTTTTTCCTTTAATTTATTACATATAGCACTGCTTTTTGTGGTTGTATTTTTCAGTGTCATGATATTGATTCTGAATAAAATGTACAGACAAACCAGTTTGTTTTTAGATCAGCATTAAAAGAATCTGATGAGCATAGTTGAACTGGACACAACAGGTTCACTCCAAGTTAAGTTTTACACATTTTGCAATGATTTAATACTGTACAAACCATTTTAAACAGTACTGTAGTATGAATATATTTGCTATATGCAGTGACATGTTCAACAGTGTGGACATATTGATGTTGGTTCATTGAGAATAATCAAGATACAAAAAGGCCTATAAAACCTATGTTCTAAATCATGCCATCATCTGAGCTATGGCCGACCAAAGGAAGAGCTAAATAAAAGTGTAAGAAAAAGCACCTTTTTTTTTTTTTTTTTTTTTACTTTTACTTAAGTTACTTATGGGCTTCAGAAACCCTAATTTTTGTAGATTGCAGATGAGTTATGACAATAAAAATGCATATACAAACCAGGTCTCTCTATTGTGCAAAGTACCAAGGCCTTAAAGATTATAAACCTGATGTTCAACACAATTAACAATTCATGAGCAATTCACCTAAAAAGCTGTGTCAGGAATATGCCTATAAAATTACAGACATCTTTTGACTGTTAGAGCACAGTTAGTTTGACCAATCAAACATATCGTATACAACACTGCTTCTCTGGCTGCAGTGCACCTGCTGCAGATAAAGTATAATCCTGTATATGTTCAAAATGAAAAGGCACATCACAAAATTAGTCAAACATTTAACCTCAAAGTCCATCAGAAATTGAAGTATAGTTCACATGGTACATGGTACAACTACCATTGTATCAACATTTCTAACTTTAGTAAGGAGCTTCATCTGGGATCTTCTGTAATAAAAAAAAAACGAAACAGTGAACTGATGTCCATATTGACTTCTAGGTTGCAGTTCATAGCTATTTACAGAACTTGTGTTTAAGGCAGGGCCACTTTTAAAATAACTTTTTTTGGCAAATTAGCTACATAATCTGATTGGTTTTGAAATCTAACGTCAAAATCAATGGTCAGTAAAAACATTTGCATTTAACACAGCACTTAAAGTGACGGGGGAAAGCTAATTTGCCAAAAACTTACAACTAGACTAATAATGTACAGGGAGATGCATACAAGTATATTATTGTACAGGGAATTCATTGGTGCATTTATTTAACGAGGACATGATTTGAAGTAATTGTACAAGATAATCCCGAGTGCAAATCCAGGGCGTCAGTAGGAGTGTATTCTTTAGAAATGAATGAGGAAGAAACTGATAAAATGCTAATGCTTTGGTCCATGCATCATCCATCTTGGCTTCAGTTCAGGTTTGTTTATTTCTCAGGAGTCCAGTTTTTTTTTTTTTTTTAAACAGTCTGTGTTCTATCCATTCTCCTTCCATAGCACTAAGTGAATGCTATGGTCGGGCATGCTTGTAGCAAACACCAGCCCTGAGTCATTGCCACCATCCAGACCATTTAACCATGAGGTCACCCCAGCCAGAAAGCTGGACCCTCGTTTGGACTTTCTATAAGCTGGCAGAGGCCAGCGGCCTGAGATAGCCTCTGTCCTTAAATCCATAACATACAGAAAGTGGTTGTCAAAGAGCAAAGCAAACACCTCACCAAAACTCAACAGGGACAGGTTTGCTGGATCTTGGGTTTTAATCACCCTGCAAACAAAATACGTCTTAGGACATGCTTATCATACACATACTTTGTGGTCTTTCATTACTTTACCTGAGAATCTCAAAGCTGGCAAAGTCCCACTGATAAACTCCAAGGTCTGAGCTGCAAATGATGTAGCGCCCATCAAACTGTAGTCGCGGCTGAAGGCTGATGCTGCGGTCCTCAGAAACTGACAGTGTTTTCAGACACTTACAGTTTATCTCACGGCCCAATGGCCAGACCTGAGACATAACAGTTATTACTTTAGCTTATAATTTACAAAACAATTTCAATTAAAGAAACACTAAAGACTGAAACCTTAATTTCATATTTATCAGCACTCAAGAGGATATAGTCCCCAGGACTGTGCACCACAGACTCTACTTCTGTTTTCTGTAGTATCACCTAATGGACAAAGGCATACATGTGTCAAACTTATTTAACCTTCTCCTTGGGGTCGCATAGACTTGAAGAAACATTGGGAAACACTGATTGGGAAAAAAATGCTTCTTCGGGTCTATGTGACCCCGAGGAGAGTGTGAGGGTTAAAATTGTACATTTTAGCATCAAGGTGTTACTGTTTCCTGTACCTTCGTGACCCACTCTGTGTGTCCTGTCAGAGTGTTGAGGCAGATTCCAGTTGACAGGGACCAGATCTTCACAGAAAAGTCAGCTGAACCACTCACCAGCATGTCCACTTCATCATTGTAGTCCACACTGAAGACTGGAAACAAACAACCACAATAATCTTTCACTATACATTATTACAAGTATGGCAGTTACACCATTTTAATGTATTCTATTACACATAATGTACATAAAAGCAATATTTTATAGACCAACCTGCCCCTGTATGACCACGGAATTGCTGAATTCTTGCTCCTGTGCTCCACTCCCAGCAGGCAATGGTGTTGTCAAAGGATCCAGTCACAAGCTTTTGTTCATCAAACTTTACTGTGGCACAAGTGTGCGTTTGGATACCATAAATGCACTGCCCTGTGCGGACATCCCATAACTTTGCAGAAAGGTCGTCTGACCCTGGAAAAAAATAAAATAAAGTATAATATAATATAATTGGTGTCCTGGCACTAGAAACGTATGTAATTAATCACACCACAGTATTATGTAAATGTTATTGTATGAGAAATTATCTTATAAATACAAAAACAACATTAATGATGGTCTTAAATCAACAGAATATCCTGGTGAACATTACTGTGTACCTGTGCATAGAAGGCCGTCCTTATAATAAAGCGCATACACTCGAGCACTATGTCCAATAAGGGATGACGTCTCAAAGGCTTCTTGATCCTTCAATTGCATCATTCTCCGCTTAGCCTTTAGATAGACTCCTTTCCAGTGGGATGCATTTTGGATGGACTCATCAATTCTCCAGCCAAGCTCACGACACACTGTCTGCCAAACCTCTGTACAAGAGCTTATCACCTGAAACAATCATACATCTTAGATTGCAAGAACTTATCTAAGTCTTATAATCACCAATACAAACCTTATTCCACTGTTTGCAAACCAGGCAGCAGGTGAGTAGTGTCTGTGGATCAAGCCAGCGGAGCAGATAGAAGGCTAGCTCCAGAGGAAGCAGGCGCAGGAAGTCACGCTTAAGCAGCGTCTCCAGTCCATTGGACAGATGACGAAGTTGCACAGCACCGCTCAAAGATATGAGCTGGTCCAGAGCCTGGTTACGCTGCTGGTCATTAAGTGTAAGGAAAGTGGCAGAGACTGACTCCAGCCACCCCTCAAAGACCTCCTTCTCCATGGGCACATGAGAGCAACGTGCAACACCTGGAGGAAAGCACCAAAAAGACATATGTGCACCAAAACATTGAGTTCATTGAATGTTGTATGCACACAAATATACATAATTATTTATATAATAATATACATTTGTAAGTTACAGTTAGTAGCCTATGTAAGTTCAAGTCGCACAAATAGTAGAAGCGTTAAGTTAGTAGTCGTGAATCCTAATTTACGTGTGAAGAGTAACCACACAAAATTAAAAGATTAAACGATTAACATCAAACAAAATAAAAACATGCACTTTTTAAGATCCAACACAGATACCTGCATAGTTAGCAACTTTGGTGGCTAACGTTACGTTAGCTGATAATGCGACAACCAATGCCGAGCAATTATAAATAAAAAAAACTACAATGGGATGCATTAACAAAAAAAATCTAAAACAAAACATGTCAAACGAATTAAGCCAACCAACCAGATAGCTGCAGAGCTCCTTTGTTTGCAAAACACTTCACATAACGAAGTTAGCTGGGGTTAGCTTAACTGGATGTCAGCAAGTTGAAAGGATTGTCGGAGCAAGCTAACGTTCACTGAGACGAATCAGGCCGATACTGTTACAGGTTAATAGCTTTTTAAAAAACATAAATAAATATGCATTACGAAGTTGTAAGTTTTAAACAAAAACCTCTTAAATTTTGACAGAACGAAAATCTAATAATGGAAACGGGGTCCATCTTGCCCCAAGAAAGTAGCGTCTACACCCTCAATTTTGTCTAACAGGCGAGACTGCCTAGAGCTATGAGAAGAAGCAACTTATATTTTTGTCATTAATAAGATTTTTTATACAAAATTACCTCTGAAATTATCTAAACCATCTCTACGTCTTTCAACCAGTAAATTATCCACAATCTACCCTCAGAATAATTCCGGGGAATAAAATTAAATATCCAGGTAGTTGCAAATGGATCAATTTTTAAAACTAATCACTCACTCACATTTGTCACTTATCGTAAAATTGGAGTTTGGGCATGTACGATTGGTTTGGTTTGTTCCCACGAAACGATCAAGAGTTAACACAAAGCCTGCTGTAAAAAAAAAAAAAAAAAAAAAAAAAAAAAAAGTTTCTGTAGAATAATCAGCAGAACACTAGAGGGTATGCGCGTGCCGATTTTAAGATACAGCCGCGTCGCAGGTCAAACTTTTGCTTCAAATTATTTTGCTATAATTGAACGTAAAACTTTGGTGCTTAAAATTTCGATTATTTTGACATGTGGGGGTTAGCACAGTTATAGGCTAAATCGGTTGCCTCCCTCCGTTCCTCGTTTTACACTTGAGTCTGAGCTTCTGTGTGAATGACAGCAGGTCTAATTTAATTAGACAGGCTCCATTTTAAGTTTTTTTTTTTTTTTTTTTTTTATTATTTTCGGGTGCTGCACCAGTAGTTTGTCTAAAGAGAATTCCCCAGGGCATAGTGAGGGGGCAAAGCTTTTGTAAAACGAATAATTCACATTTTTGGGCCTGTCTCCAAATCAAATCCACTGGTCTTAAGTGATGTGGGTAACTGCTGTGACACCCTTCTACCTTTTGTGTGTCGACTAGAGTGAAAAATTCCAGCTTGTACTTTCTCTGCATACTTTTCATCTCATGAATTATTCAGGTATATTTCTATAAGCTAAGCCTTTTCTTAGATTTTGTTAGAACGAATACACATTACAAAAAAGAAAAAGGCGTATGCTCTATACAGATTTCGATACCACAATGATAACAAAACACACGTTCTTTAAAAAATTCAACCCAAAATAGTACAGTAGTTTTGTTAAACTAGCCATAGACCGTAGTTCTGATCCTGACCTATTAATGTATTAATTTCAATGTCAATAACTGCATGGGGTGTAAAAAAAATAAATAAATAAAAATAAAACACATAGTGCATAGTTGAAGCCATATGTTACAATAATCTGCAATGCAAATTCTTAATTATGTTAAATCATATATTTTTTTACACCTATTGTATCCCCTTTTCAAGATTTTAAATCAGTGCAGGAAACAAATTTTCCTTAGGCCTACATGGTCATATGTGGTCTTGGCTCTGCAATCACTATGTATGATCACTGATAAAAATAAACATAGAAATAATATGTTCAGGACAAAATATTCCTGTGCATGTGAAGAACATATGACATATCATTGTCTATTTTTATTTTTATTTTATTTTATTAATTTTCTTAAATTTTATTTTATGTATTTATCTAACAAATAGATTCAGTCTTCCACTGATTCCAGTAGGCCTTTAAGGACAGAGAAAGGTTTCAGTTTGCTTATGCACTTAATCCTGGAGACCTGGATAGCCCTCATTCTATAACCATAAAATGCAACATAGGCTGCACAGTCTGTATAAAACTAATGGCAGTAAATAAAGTGCATGTGTCATGTACAAGTGATTGGCTTCAAATAGGGTCTTTTCTGTATCCCCTATATCCGATGTCTTTATTGAGAGCAGGTCACGGAAGCAGGCCAATGAAGGCTGGAGCATTCTTTCTTCAAGAGAGACAGGTCTGTGATTAATTGGTGGAAATTGTATCTTTGTCTATGATCCATTAATTTATGTTAATAATATACCATTTAGTAATAGTTACGTTTCATGTTTTTGTTTGTAGACCCAAGAAATCAATACCCAGATTGATTATACACTTCTTTTAACGTACGTGCATCCAGCAGTGAGTGAAACTAAGGTCATTATTTGGGGCACATTTTCACTGTGGGCATTTGGTTGTGAGGCAGCTGGTGCTGATGGAGGGCGTGGCAGAGGGGTGAGAGAGCACAGAGGGGTAACAAGCCTCTAACAGACCAAGTGATGGATGTCTGACCACTAAGCTGCACTACAAGGGAATTAAAGCTGTTGTAGCCACTAATGATACGCTGAGTGAAAACACGGTCAGGAGTATTTGGACTGCACCTAGAATCAAAATAATAATACAATACTCTATTATAGACAATTCTGTTACACAAGTATAATGTTGTTTACCTTTCTACATACATTTCCTCAACTCAATCAAAAACATTTTTAGGTTCATTTAAATAGCCCATAATGAAAGGAGAGATGATGGTTCTGCTGTCAGTGTCAATTATCCTGGAAAAACTATCATTCAGAAGGTGTGTCCCACTTCAAACCCATAGTTCTAAAGTAGAGCTCATTGTGGATAACATGATTTAATTAACTATAGTATAGTGTCTGCTACTTTATATTGATACTCTATATTTCCTGTCACAAACCAAGTTACAACTAGAATAAATATTTTAAGTGTGTGTTATACATGAATGCATTTATGGTTGAGTGCTAAATGAACTGACTCCTCCATGCCTTGTTCTCTGCATTTATCATCTTGTTGATCCAGACCATGTTTTCATGGTGGCCAGCGGCTCTCACGCCTGATTACACGCTCAGAGTCATGAACAGGGAGAGCTGTAGTCTGAGTGTGAGTCCACTGCTGCATTCATTAGCTCCTCCGTGAGTGTGTGACATGTCTCCAGACACACGGCTGCACATCTCAATTGCACACCATGTCAACTTCTTAGAACTTTAAACTTCTTATTGACCTTTGACCCTGGGGCTCCTCAGTGGACCCCAGTGACAGGACACACCATGGAACTGGGGAAGATTCATCTAAACCTGAAGACACTACTCCTCACAACTATGATGTTCAAATGGGGTGAGTAGAGGCGTTCAATCGAAATATTTATACTAGAGTTTCTATAATGTTCACTAATCAAACTATTTATTATGCATGATGTCATAGCAACATCATAAATTAAAGTACTACTAAGTTCTACTACACATTCTTGGAGGGCAGATCTAGGAGCTCTTACTTCTTATTGAGGGTGCAGGTAGGAATGCCTTTCAGAGATGCCCCATGAGTGGGGCACAAGTGGTGTTTGGTTTGGGTGGTGCTTGTATTGTCCCTACCATGTCAGGAGCCTCAGAAAGACAACAGCTAGTGGGTGATTTATCCTTTTGTCCTTTTAACAAGGATGTGTCCTGTGTTTATATATATATATATATATATATATATATATATATATATATATATATATATATATATATATATATATATATATATATATATATATAGTATTCATTGCCATTTGATATAGGCAAGGGTAATGTAACTGAGACGTTACATTGATATCTATTTGTCTTAACAATTACATGCCTAAACTGTTAATAATAAAGATTGTATTTGTGTTGCTTGTATCTAGTGGGGTATGTCAGATTTGCCACATGACTGGTTCACAATCAGGGGGTGGTCTTCAGTCATGCATGCATACAAACACTGGAAGAGGGGAGCACTCAATGATATCTGTGTTAAAAGAACTCAATACATTATGAAGTTTTAGCAAACCATAAGCCATGACCCACATTTATAATGGCACATTAACTTAACTACTTTGTGATGGGCATAATAATTTATAAGAAGGATCCTGACATCTCCCCTGAGCTCATGCGGCATCCTACTGTGACTTCATTAAACTGAGTTGAGTCAGGTGAATGGGACATCTGCTTCTCAGTCTGATCTGCTCCGTCTCACGTGAGGTTTATGTGTGTCTGTGCAGCTAGGATCAACTATGAGTGAATGTGAGGCCAATCATTTATTTTTGAAGGGGTAGGTATTTGATTTTAATTAATTATTGGTTACTTGCATACACCAAAACCTTTTTCACATTGACTTATTAATATCTGTACAGTCAGCATGTTAATGGATACTTTTTATGGGTAATTTTTAAATAAAATAGATTTTCCTATATTTTTTTAAATAATCAGTTGTAAAATCAGTTAGACAGTTTGAAAGAGTGATCTACTGGCAGTTAAATGTATGAGCCACTGTGTAAATGTCCAAATATAATCAAATGCCTTCCTTTAGTTTAGGCTAATTTGATAGTGTCAGTGTTAGATAGTGAAAGAACTATTCATGAGGACACTATGGTGACACATGCTTGACATGGAAGCTTAAAGTGTAATCTGCGCAGGTATCCTGTCACCAGATTACAAGTGCAATGGGATTGGCCGAGTGAAGCCAGAGGATTACTATAGTGTGGTTCTTTAGGTCACGGAGGGCATGGAACCGGTGGGTGAAAGAGGCACTGGGAAAGTTAAGGAAGAGTATATAGGGGATAAGACATGCTTGAGAACATGCCTGTAAACAACAAGTGTGTTCAATTAGACAGTAGTTTTATTGTAACACATCTTTCTAAAACATCAGGGAGGAAGCTGTCTTAAGATGTCTATTTTAACCTAACCTTCATCTTGAACAAATTTTCAGAAGTTATTTTGGTGCTAGTAACAATTAGGTATTTTAAATCCTGTGATACAACCAAAATGTTTGTATATTCAGTGGCATGGCCTTTCTATAGCTGAGCCATGCTATCACACCATAGTCTACTGTGCTCCACACACATTTGAACAAACAACTCTTAAATTAGGTTTCTTATCAAACAAGCAGTGGATCACCTCACCTCAGTAATGAAATGTTGGCCCTGGCCTTCTCACTCTGAGGACACTTTCTAATAAAGAGACACTTGCGCCACCTGGGCCTGCTCAGTCTGCAGGTGGCTACCACTCAAGGCTGTGGAGAGTAATCTCTACTGCTCAAACATAGTTAGTGTCCACAGTAAACTCAGAGAGAAGTCTGTCTCCGGCACAATTGAAAATGACAAGTGCCTTCTGTTTGAGCAGCGTCACAATCACACTTAAATCTATTGGCATATGAGCTCAGGATCAACCCAAGAGCATCATGCATGTGTGGACTGTAACAGCAATAAAATGGTCAAGCATCGGATTATTTGATTATGTTTCTGTAATAGCTATTGTATCAACTAATAAGCTACCAAGACCAACTAATAGGCTACTCACTGATGCATAATTCAAAATACAAGCACCCGTAATTAAGACTGCCATACTGTTATTAGATATTACATCACAATGGCTGACACACTGCCCTGCTCTAGTTATTGTAATCACTATTTGGTCTCTGCATAGACGCACAGTTGTTCCATTGTTCAACACCAGACAGTAAGCTCAGGTGATTTAGTCCAAATGTGTACCGCCACATATTTCTTTTTACTTCTACAAAATGTGTAGCTGCATTCACCCCATCACATGGCGTCTCGAGGAACGATATGATAATGATATGTTGCTATAACATAAGATACATAGCATAACCCACCAAACTAGCTATAATTGTATTTGATTTGCATAATAATTTATGATGAGAAGGAAAGAAATCAATATTTAGACAAGTACAACTATACCATATGCAAATATGATGTAAAATGATGTAAAATGTTTAAACACTTCTTCTACAGTAAACTGCTATTTTGGGCCTAACCCTCTCTCCCCCTCATTTCTTCAGCCTCACTGAGCATGTGGAACCAGCGCCCTGATCAAAGTTTGGGGTCTGGGGGCGGTGGCATGTGCTCATTCTGACCATTGTTGGAAATGGCCTAATAAAAAGGAATGTGAACTGATTCTAGAGTGGTCAAGCGGCATGGGTTTGTAAGAGGGGATATTGTATGCAAATCTCTGCTTAAGACTAGCCCCTCTTAGTGTTTAGGTGCAACAACGTATGTGGCTATAGTGGGGACAGTGGGGACTCATTGTGAATCATGACAACTAGATAAACAATACTTCTGACCACTTTCTAAGGCCCATGCTAAAGGCTCATACACATTTTTGTTATAATTCCACATTTCTGACAAGGTTATAATCTCTGTAGTGCTACCCACACTAGAGTACCAAGAATAATGACAATGTGTTTATAAAAATGTTAAATTGGCAGCCTAAGTGATTTAAGTCATGTTGTTTATAGAGAAAAAAAGGAATATCTCAGGGGAAAGAAGATGTTACAGCCAGGTTGTTATAAAGCTCATTTACCATTCATGATAAGTGTTGCTTTGTCTTCTGCTCATTGATAAAGCCTGAGTGAAAGGATCGTACATTGTGTTTGTCTACAAATTACACAGATTATCCATTTACATTCAAATCCTTTATGGTATTGTGTATTGTTTTAATAATGAGAAACTAATGAATAATTAAAAAACAAAAAATGCCTAAAAAGTCAAGTTAGACCCTAGTAATGTAGGCTATAAAAATCAAATATATCTATAAATGTAGGAGAAATAAACAATTAACTGCTGAATAGAATTTTAGACAGATCGTTATGGTGGATCTGTGTGTGTAGCATTTAAATAACTTGCCTACTACTAAAACTGTTACCTTTCATGTGTTCTTTCAACAGGGATCCTGTGCACGGCTACATCGGACAAATGTCTTTCAGCCCCATGTCAAAACGGCGCCACCTGTGTGGACACTATGGAGGACTACGCGTGTATCTGTGCCAAAGATGGGGTGCGCTACATGGGCAAGCACTGTGACCAGCTCTACGATGCCTGCTCCTTTGCTCTATGTGACAATTGCCTAAGCACTCCGGGCAGTGCAGAATACCACTGCATCTGCCCTGAAGGTCTGAGTGGAGACAACTGCACTGAGGAGGTGGATGAGTGCCTGAGTAACCCCTGCTCTGCCCCACGCTCTCTGTGTGTTGACCAGTTAAATGGGTACTTCTGTAGGTGTCCAGAGGGCTATGGAGGATATGACTGTAGGACACATGTGACAGACTGCGTAGACAAGCCCTGCGGGAACAATGGGACGTGCTTACTGAGGCCAGAGGGTTTTGAGTGTCAGTGCGCCCCTGGATATGAGGGCAGTACCTGTGAGGACAATGTGAATGAGTGTGCTTCAGAGCCGTGCCAAAACGGAGCCATCTGTCTGGACGGAATAGCAGAGTTTCAATGCTTTTGTGTGCCTGGTTTTCAAGGATATAACTGTGAGATTGACATTAATGAGTGTGCATCACGGCCCTGTGAGAACAATGCCACCTGTATCAATGAAAAGGACCACTATGAGTGCGAGTGCCTGGATGGATTTGCAGGTACCTCACCACAACTAAAGGTTCTTACAGTAAAAATATATTCTCAATTTTGAGCAATAAAACAAAAAGCACAGGGGTGAAATTAATATTAGATAGATATGTTGAATGCCATACTATGAAACATTACCAGCAAAGTTGCAAACAGTTGCCTATTACCACTAGAAAAGTTTGCCTCACATACTATGTTGGCTTCATAGTTCCATCTACCACTTATATCTATGTCATAATTATGTAATTATTGTTAGGATACAGTCAGTAAAATTATTAGTGGAGTATTCTACGTATTATAACACTGCTTTGTTCAGCTCCTCTGTCTTTTGTTTGTTCCTGATAAAAAGACACACTGTTTTAGTAAGATGCTTTTGGGTGTCAGGAGTCTTATCTTGACTACCGATAGTGTTTAAAACACTTACGTCTTGGTATTCTCACAGTCCCTTCTGCTTAGTGTCAGTGACTTCTATAAGGGTTAACAGGTCAGCATTCCTGAACTACATATTTATCTACACTGATATATACATGGACACTGATACATGGACTAAAATACTGACCAGTGGTTTCTTTCAGCATGGTAAAATGACTTAAAATATATTTACTGATATTTGCCTCAACAGGTGTGAATTGTGAGGTAGAGATAGATGAGTGTGAATCAACCCCCTGCAGAAATGGTGCCACTTGTCACAACCTAATCGGCATGTACTCCTGCGAGTGTGTGCCCGGGTTTGACGGCATCGATTGTGAGATCGACCTGGATGAGTGCGAGAGTCAGCCCTGTCAGAATGGAGCCATTTGCCACGACATGGTCAACAGGTCATTTTCACACACCTCAACATTCTGTTTATTTTTTTTATTTTATTACATTAAAAATGTATATATTAAATAAGTAATGATAATGCAGTAGGCTTTTGATGCTCAAAATGGAATGGGAAGCAGTAAGACTAAATGCATTGTGGTCATGTGCTAGAATTTGTTGATTTTACTATTTTAAATGGGGGGGCATGCCTATAAAACTCTATGTGAATATTATTGCTTTTTAGAAAAAAAAACATACTTCCAATATTTATCTATAGATTAATTAGTCCTTTCAACAGACAATCATCACTTCTTTGGACTGAATAATGGCAACACTTTCTAAAGCAATTTTGAAAACACATTTGTTGATTTATACTGACAAACAAGTCACTCTGTGTTTGTTTTGTGTGAATAGGCTCAATAATGACAATTATATTAATCATAAATCAGGTTAGGAAATCATCAGTATGGCAGTTAAAAGGTAAATTCTACCATAGAATTTTGACCTGTCCTCCAGCTCAGTTTTAAACTCTGGATACTCAAGAATGCTATGATGTCAACCCAACCTATCTCCTCAAGAACTGTCAATACGCACACACTACTTTCCTATATCCATAGGTTTCAGAATGAAAAAAATAGGAGTGTTTGTATGGAGACAAATAATTAAAAAAATATAAAATCTTTTGAATGGGGAAAAAGCCCTCAAAATGTTACATATAACAGGAAGCTGAAACCTGTGAATAGGCAAACTGGGGAAAATGTCTTGCTCAAGGACCCAACAATAGTATGCACTGGGCAAACCACTAACTTTCTGGTTTGTGGACAAATGGTTCAGCAGCTGAGCCACTGCTGTCCACATTTTTTAAAGTGTTACACTGTTTTTTCTGTTTCTTACAGTTATGCCTGTGACTGCACTGACACTGGTTTTGAGGGTGATCACTGTGAAGTGGACATCCCTGAGTGTGAGTCCAATCCCTGTCAACATGGAGCAACTTGTCAGGAGCAAGTTAAAGGGTACATCTGTAACTGTTGGCCAGGTATACAGGCTATTCTGTGCTTACAAAAAAAAAAAAAGTATATATATTTATATATATATATATATATATATATATATATATATATATATATATATATATATATCTTTCAGGCTACGAAGGGACCAACTGTGAGGTGGATATAGATGAGTGTGCGGAGCAGCCTTGTGAAAATGGTGGGGAGTGTTTTGAGCGCTCTGATCCATCTCATTGGGAGATGGACTGGGAGCTGAGTTTTGCAGATGCATCTGGATACATATGCCAGTGTCAGCCAGGATTTGCAGGTATAAGATCAAACTGTTGCAATCGAGTTTCATTTCTGAATGATGCTTTAAGGTTCCTGTGTCTTTCCCAGGAGAGAACTGCTCTGTGAACATCAATGAGTGCGAGTCTGAGCCCTGTCAGAATGGAGGGGCATGTTTGGACCAAGTCAATGGCTATACCTGCACCTGTACTCCTGGGTTTTTAGGTAAAAGCTGGGTAATATGCACAGAAACATGATTTAAATCAGTAAATATACTATGTGTTGGTGTTTTTAGTGAAGTACGATTCTGTTCAAAGTGCACATTGTAAACAATTCATTGTAAACAACTGAAATACGGACTGATAAACTAATACCTGAATATCATGCATTTCAAAACATATTTTAATTCAGTTGTGACAGATTGTGGAGCCCTAGTTCTTTGCCTAATTCACTATACCTATTTTGCAGGTCTTCAATGTGAGTTGAACATCAATGAGTGTGAGAGCCAGCCTTGTCAGAATGGAGGCTGGTGTGAAGATGGCAGAGCATCCTACACCTGCCACTGCCCCAACCCAGAGCCTGGCGAGCTGCCCTGGGGAGGAGAACATTGCCACATCCGGCTGCATGGATGTATTGAGCACCAGTGTCAGAACGGTGCCACCTGTAGTCCATGGCTGGATGGTGAGGAGCATGTGCACACCTGTCTCTGTCCACACGGCTTCTATGACCAGCACTGCTCTACCAGGACCACCTTCTCCTTCTCCAGCCCAGGTCTCATTCACCTTGAGCTGCAGTTGGAGGAGAGGGAGAGGAGAGAGGTGGAGCATTTGAATCATCATGGGATTGGAGTACAGCTGCGTTTCAGGACTACACTACCTAACATGCTCTTGTTCTTTAGAGGGGATGAGGAAAACTACTTGTTATTAGAGATAGTTAATGGTGGTCTTTACGCCAAAGCTTTTTCTGAGGACTCTGAGCTGCATGTAACATTTTCTGAGCTTGTCAGTGATGGAGATTGGAGGGACGCCCATGTGATTTTAGACGATCAGGGTCTAGTTCTGATTGTCAAAGGTCCTGGATGTGACCGAGACGGATGCAAAGTTATTGATGATGGAGCAGATGAACCACGCTTTGAGCCCTCTTCAGCGTTTTCTCATGTTTATGTGGGCGGGGTCCCTGCGGAACTTCTGGACATAACTGTTGCCAAGACATCTTTTATTGGATGTATGGAGGACTTGATGATTGACTCTAAAGCCATTCTGCCCCAGAGTCTCCCAGACAACCAGGAGGTTGAACTGGGCTGCAGTAAGACCACCTGGTGTGAGCCGGACCCTTGTAGTAGCCATGGACAATGTGTGGACATGTGGACCAGCTATTACTGTGAGTGTCACAGGCCATACTATGGAGACAGCTGCTCTGAAGGTAATCATCACAGCTTCATGGATACCAGTTAATTACATATTTAGATAATAATATAATAATAATAATATCATAATTAACAAGCTTTTGGTATCTTTTTTGCAGAATACGCCTCATGGACATACAACCATGAAAACATTCTAAGTTTCAGTGCATATGAAATTAATAAGAACCATGGCAGCACTTTCAATGTCTCTTTCTTCCTGAGATCCTTAAAGCCAAATGGCCTTCTGCTCCAACTGAGGAGACCCTCCCAACAGAACGAGGGGGAAGTGTACTTCTCTATTTACCTGGGCATGGGCCGGGTATTTGTCAGCTCTTTGTCCAGCAGCATCCCTCTGACTGCACCCATATTTGTGACAACTGGAGAGAAGCAGTTTTTACATGTTGTTGTGCAGCAGAATAAGGTTATCTTTGAGCACGCAGGCCTCCGTTACAGCATTGGAAAAATCCCTGAGGTCAACATCAGTGAAGGAGACTGGGTCTATGTAGGAGGACTGCCTGAACTCTGGAGCTCAGACAAATGGGGTGGACATTACAAAGGCTGCCTGCAGGACCTACGTTTGGGCTCTGTTCATCTAGAAATGGGACAGTGGAAATATTCCAATCAAGAAGATGTGTACATTTCAAACAGCAATGAAAATATCAAAGAAGGATGTATCAGTGATGACACGTGTAAGGTACATACTGTAGTTTGAGCCTTAAAATTTATATTTCATGGTAAATTACATATGTAAGATTTGTTTTATATTCAGTATTATATAGCCATACTTACATTCTCTTTCAGACAAAGCCATGTCATAATGGTGGCAAGTGTACCATCTCATTCAATGATTTTACTTGCTCGTGCCCAGAGGAGTACAAAGGCAAGACCTGTGAAACCCGAGTGTGGTGTGTAAGTGGTCCCTGTGTCAATGGTGGTCACTGTGTGGACCTTCCAGATGGATATGAATGTAAGTTCATCGTTTTCAAAGGAAATGATCATGAAAATGTCTAACTATTTTGCTGTACTTTGTACTCATACTGTCTGTGTTGTTTATTAGGTGTGTATAATGCTACATTTGAGAACAATGCGGTGCAGTACAGTGCAGGTGGATCCCTTGCTGAACCTGTTTCCAATATCTACATTGAGTTTAGGACTCGCTCAGAAAACGCAGTCCTGCTGCGTGCTGCTCGAGGTGGGGACATGCTTATGGTTGGTGTGCTGGACTCTTCGGTGCGGTTAGAGATCCAGCTCGGGAACACTGTAGAGGCTTTGATTCTGTCTGGACTGCGGCGTGTGGATGATGGACAGTGGCACAGAGTAAACATTTCAATGCCAGATCAAAAAAGGAAAGTCTCCCCGTGGGTCATCACTGTAGATGGCATCACAGACACCAGTAGCTCCCCAGAAGTGACCGGCCGCCTGTACTTCCTCAATCACAAGAGCACCACTCTAGCTATAGCTCAGAGCTTTACCGGATGTATGGGAGCTGTACGGATTGGTGGAGTCTACCTTCCCTTTGTCGATGATTACAGAGCTCCTCAGCCATCCCAATTTCATTTAGTGGGGAAACCAAAGATTCACTTGGGCTGCACTAGCACTCCAGTGTGCGACTCAGACCCCTGTCTCAATGGCGGCACTTGTCAGGACCTCTTTAATAAGTTTGGCTGCGTGTGTGACTCTGGTTGGGAGGGGGAGCAGTGTGAGCGGGACACTGATGACTGTGTGTCTCAACCCTGCATTCATGGGAGCTGCATGGACTACTTAGCTGGATTTGAGTGCCAGTGTCACCCGGGATACGTAGGCAGACTCTGTGACGAAGACATAGATGAATGTGAACATCACGCCTGTCTGCATGGTGGTACGTGTCAGGACGGTCCGAACACTTACACCTGTGTATGTCCCCATGACTACAGTGGCCCCCTTTGCCAGTAAGCTAAGTCTATTACTTAAATACAGCAAAAATCGAGTAGTAATATCTGTAATAATTAAATATTTTTCTCACCAGATGGAGATATCCTCCAGAGCAGTGTGGTCGTGATGTCCTCTGTTTGAATGATGGCATTTGCCATGATGGTCTGTGGGGCGCTAACTGCACCTGTATGCCAGGTTTTACAGGCATCAGGTAAGAGTATGGTGCAGTTCACTCATTTAAAATAATGATTTTCAGAGCGTTGTTATGAGGCTGATAAGTAGGGCACATTTTCATTATTTTTCCCCAAATTATATGCTTTGAAATTATTATATACTCACCTGTTGTCTAAAATTAGGAAACATAACAATAATTTTTAAACATATACACAGCCACTTTTCACTAACTAGAGAATAGTCTAGTCACAGTCTGTGCTGTGCCCCCACTCACACAAAGTGTTCAAATAAAGCTTCATGCATTTTCTTCAATGAGGTGGTCAAAATAATTATCTATTTCTACTGATTATTATTATTATTAGAGCACACTTGAACATGTTCTGTTCTGCAGGTGTGAAATGGAAATAAATGAATGTGAGTCAAATCCATGTCGAAATGGTGGTTCTTGTTTGGATCATTTCAACATGTTTGTCTGTGAATGTCCATCTGGTTTTAGTGGACCAACTTGTGACACAAATGTAAGTGTTATTATCTTGACAAGTTTTTGATACTTTCATGAAAAAAATTACAACTACCTTTTTCCCCCTTCAGAAACTGGCTCACAAACAGGGTGTGCCGTGGCTGCTGGTGGCCATCCCACTGCTTTGCCTCTGTGTTCTGATTGTAATCATTGGACTGACATTTATGGTGATGACAGCAAGGAAGAAGCGCCAGTCAGAGGGAGCCTACAGCCCCAGTGCCCAGGAGTTAGCTGGAGCCCGTCTTGAGATGGGCAGCATGCTCAAAGTGCCCCCAGAAGAGAGGCTTATTTAAGAGACAGTGGTGTAAACACAGCTGAGCAGGTGCACAGGATTGGGACTCAAAGCGCCTCTCATATTTGTTGTGTTATACACCCCCTTGTGGTGAGGTACTCATCCACTGGTGCTACTGCCATAGACATTTGACTTTCTAGGAAATATTATGAAAGTTTGAGGAAAATATTGTGTACTTGCAAAGATGACTATTGGATATTCTCTACTAACAGGATAGGAAATGCCAGGCTACTTTCAACAGAACTTGACATATTTGTAGCATTTTCTGGAGCAAAAAATGCTTTTTATACAAGATGTATTTATAAAATACTAAAATACAGGACATGTGTAAAAAAAAAAAAAAAGTTTTATATAAACAATTTGTTTAGCTTATGTAAACTAAATAAAACATATATTACTATTGTACATACATCAGACTACTAAAGTATGGACTTAAAAAAATAATAATGAAACTGTGAACTGCCAAGTAATCAGGTGCCATAAGTAGATGACTATTATGTTTCTGTAAAATAAGACAAGCAAGTCAATGTAGCTGCTTGGGCACACAAAATTTAATCATAACTGTAAGCAAAATGTAAAAAGTATTCACAACAACAAAGAATGAAGACAGATAAATAATTATAACAATTAAGAACAAATTATCTTAATTATCACAATATACATGTGGTGATAACCAGCAACATATGAATGTACTGTCAAGTCCAAGTACTAGGATGCAATGGATAAAATCAGATAAAAACAAAATGCTTTCTATTCTGCAGAAAGAAATTAGATTAGTGGGCAGCACTACATATTTTAAATTGCACAGATGTAACAATATTTTAACCTGTCATATAGTTAATTATTGATATTGTTCTACTTCGGCCTTACATGTATTATAAGTACAGATTTTAGTGAATCAGTCTATGTCAACCTACTTTACAAGAGTAAATCTTGGGATCATTTAATATTCCATGTATCGTAACAATAACAGATATGTGCAGTAGTATTTGGCAATTGTAACAAAACAAAGACAAAAAGAAGCAGTGCAAAGGAGTAATAATGCTTTCACAAAATAGTCAGCAAACAAGACTTTCATCAAACTGACAGGTCTGATATTGATTCAGGGACAGTGAGATCATATAATAATATTTTCCAGTGCTTTATAGAAAAACAGAAAGCAAAACAAACTCACAGATAAATCCTTCATAAAAGGCCCAACAAAGACCTGTGTGCATGAAGCTTGTCAAACTTGTCAAGGATAGACTAAGCGCAACTGAAATGCACCACACTATGTAGCTACATACCACAATGCAAAGAGTTGTTGTAATAGAGGACTTGTTACAAACTTGCCCGTTGTAAATTTGGTTTATTACAAAGGTATACAGATATTAGGTATTTAAGCAAGACAAATTGAGTACTAAATTACTAATATTGTATCTACTCTAACGTGGTGCATTACACATAACCACACCACTACAAATAGTGCAAATGATTTTTCAACTGTAAGCAAGAGGCAATGGGCCATGGATAGTTGGCATCTGGATATATTAAAAACAAGAACAAGTTTGTTTAAGAGTAGAAAGCAAAACACACAAATGAACCAGGAGTCTTATAGAGGTTGCTGTGGCTGAATGACCAGTCCTCATCACATCAGTTCAAACCTATTAGCCTTTGGTCAGCTGCAGAGTGTGGACAGTCCGGGTGGGCTGTAACCAGATTATTCCTCATACGTAAATCTGTATTTTGATTAAAAACAAAGGATGAACAAGGATTCACAAAGTGGTTCAATCAATTAACAAATATAAGTATTGTTTTAGTTGATTGTGATCTGTAGAACCATTTTTGTAAACTGCTCTGTAATTTTAACCTTCTAAAATCTTTAGTACAGTCAGATTAAGAATAGTAAGATATTTTGGAGCAGAAGTATCAGAAAGTTTGACAATCTGTAAAGAGGCAAAACTAAGTATAAGAATGAAGAGATGTAAAGGACTACAAAGAGAATGCTGTGTCACATTGTTTGGAAGTACTTAATAGTTTCAGTGCTACATGCAACAGGACTCCTCCAACGCTTTCTGTTACAGGTTTCATTCTGTGTTGGGTTTTAAGAATTACGCTTCAAAGCATTTTAACCGAGGAAAAATTATAATATGCAATAGTTATTTTCTACCAACAAATGTTGAAGGCACTCTACATGTATTATTAACAGAGGAATCATCTGGTTACGTGGCCACACTCAGTGCACACACACAGTTAAGTCAGTCAAATGTTTCCCACTTCCTCCTTAGGTCCTCTACCTTCATTTTTGGAGTAGCAGTGGGTTGAACCATACTGAGCAGGTCCCCAAAAGGATCCTGACTCTTTCTGGTTTCTGCCTCAGTCTGAAGTGTTTTTGTCAGTCTGCTCTGGAGTGGGTCAGTCATACAGTCTGCCAAATTGGACAGAGAGTGGTTACTGGAGGACTGTGGCAGGGTGGAGGCAGATGGAAGGAAGGCTGTGTGCACGAGTCCATAATTGGGGGACACAGTGGAGCCCCCTGGTGAAGGCTGCCTGTACAGACCAGGCAGTGTCTGTGGAGCGTGTAGACAGGGGCCCAGAGGTGGGGGCCTGTAGACTGCAGTAAAGGGGTTACCACTGGCTATGGGAGAATAGTGTATTTGAGGAGGGGTTTGTGGAAGAGATGAGGCAAATGGGTTGAGTGATATTTGAGGCTGCACTGGAAAAGGGGGCAGCCCTGTTGGGTAAGGTCGGGGTGGGAGCATTGGTTTATTTGATGAGAGGGTGCTGTGTTCGGTCTTGTCATTCACTGATGAACTGTTGAGAGGGTCCAAAAGGCTGATCAGATCCAAGCTGCCCTCTCCGGTCTTTGAGGGCTTCAGAAAGTCCACATCTGATGTCCGGCTCAGGGCTTGTCTGAACTCCTGTCCTCCGGGTGTAGTCCTTCCCTCAGCTGGTTTGGACTTGACTTGAGCCACTGGAGGAGCCAACACAGCTCCCAGCTCCGGTGTCTTCCTCCCTTGAGGCCGGGGAATGGTGATGTTGCTGGTGTTAGTGAGGTCTGGAATGTCCTGGCCTAGGGTGAGGATTTCACGACTTGGAGAGGGAGCTTCAGCGAGGGTAACTGAAGGTGGTCTGTCACAAGGGGGAGGCACACAGATGGGCAAAGCAGCATCATCCTGCCCCATGCTCCAAAGCTTGTTATACGGGTTGGACAGTTTTAGCCCCGGAAGTGTCCGTGAATGTTCACCAATGCTCAGGTCCATACGCTGTGAAATAACAAACAAGATTTATTCTTAAAAGTTAAATGTTGTGACAGCCTTAAAATCTGAATGTAGTATTTCTATTACAGCCATGAAAGTTAAGAAATACTGGCAACCCTACTGAGAAAAGAATACTGTGGAAAGTAAAAGTTAAAACTTATAAATTACATATTTTCAAAAACTACTCAACTACTGCCAATAAAAATAAAAGACACCAATATATATAGAATACATAAAATATAGCCCTCGCACTCGCCTACGCCGCGCCCCACAAACGCCGCGCCCCGCAATTGCCCCGCAAACGCCACACCCATATGCGCCACGCCCCACTAACACAGTGCCCCGCAAAACACCACACCCCACACTAACCCTTATAACCCTAAGCTTAAACCTAACCCTGAGTTTTTTAATCGAGACCATGTCACAAATATAGATACCAAATTTTGTATATCTATGATAAATAAAACATTATTTTTCCCATACAAATTTTCTAGGGGGCGCTACTGCACCCATTTTTCTTAGATCAATCTGTTCATAGTCGGGGTGTGAACCCACAATAAAAATTTTTGTGAAATCGGGCAAAGTTTGTGCGACTGGGTGATTTTACCATCGGAACATGGAGAGTTTACGTTATAGCTATGGCAACACCATAAAAAATATAGCATGGGTGTCATTGACTTTTTGGATCAGGATGTCAAAACTAAAGTTTGTGCAAAATTTCAGAAATTTTTGAAAAACTAATTTATTTTCTCCCATATTAAATTTTATTTCACTCTATAGGGGGTGCTAATATACCAAATTTATTTTTTTTAACATTAAGTAACTTTAGGGCAGAGAGTTTAACAACTGTTTAAAATTTCATTGAAATCTGAGTTCGCTTGAGCAAATGGGAGCAATTTGTAAATCTCCAAAAATCTCCAAAATTGTGTGCATTTTTTGTTGCTTCACTGCTCAGAGACCGTAAGACAAGTGTGTGAAAAATTTGGATAACTTTCAATGTTCCCCCCCTTGAGATAATGTGGACCATATAAGAGCCCGTTCGGGTGAGCGCCCTCGGAGGAGTTCGTAAAAGCATACCAAACTTTAAGCCAATATTGCTGCCCCCTAGTGGAGCGCATGGTGTTGGCGTAATAATATTTTTTTCTTTGTCTTGTCATGATCGACTTCTGTGTCAAATCGCATTATTCTATGTGCAAATTCTTTTGGGTGTCATTCGTATTCCCTAATGCATTTTTGAGTTGTTTGAGGGCGCTGATGAGCCATTTTATTTATTTTTGGAAAATGGAAATAGCCAAAAGTTAGAGAAGCGCAAGTTTTACCAGATGGCAAAATTTCTGGACTTTTCATCATGGTTCAGTGGGTTAGGAGAAAAAAAATAAGAATAAAGAAAGAAAGAAAGAATGAATAATATTCTGATAAGAGAACAATGTTGCACTTTTTTTTGGCCGTCAAACTACATTTTCAGAAACCTCTGGCGAATTGCTACGTCATGGCGAGGGTCCCTGTTCACTACGGGCGAGTCACGTCGCGCCATTTCATTTTCCAGCCACTAGGAGCATCGCTTTGCGATACTAATAGGCCCTTTGCCAGCTTCTGGCGCTCGGGCCTAAAAACAACAAAACACTGTAAATGTCCTGTGTCACAAATATTGGCACCCCTTCTCCTGATGAACAGATATTTCAGAACATGCTCATGAACTTCGTTTCTTCAGTTTTGTTTTTGCTATATCCTTATATAGCTCCACACTAAACATAATTAAATATTTAGTTTCACATGTAAAATCCCTGTATTAAAACAACTGGTGCTAATTCAAATGATAACAAAAAACATTTATATCTCTGACCTGATATGTGAACTTAGATTGCACATCGTCAGTTTCTTTGGGCGTCCTCAAATCCTCCAGACTTTTAGCCAGAGTAATAGGTTGGCTGTCAGGTTCATCTTGGCAACCAAAAATATCCCCCAACAGGTTGATATTGGAGAACTTTTCATTAACAGGACTTGAAGGAGCAGTATGTCGCTCTGGGCCATTATCATCACCTTCTAATAACTCCACTTCTTTTAGCGAGTGGTACGGCTGAGCTCTGAAAAGAACAGTTTTTCATCAGTGATCAACATAGTATAGTATAAGGTAGTATACATGCAGATCCAAATTACATCTTAAGGTATACACCACACATGCCCATGCTGCCTAATAACCATAGTGAGTCATAAATTATTAAGTTAGGAAAAGAAGTGAGTCACTACATTAAACAGCACAAAGCCAATTAAATGAATGCGTACTGAGGAGACCACTCAAAAGGAGCAGAGAAGAGAAAGCTATCAGGAAATCCAGAGACAGAGTCCTCATCATACTGGAGCTCATCTCCAGAGGAATCCTCCGACAGAAAGACTGTGTAATGCCGAGTGGGACGCAGAGAGCTACAGTGAGGAGAGAGATAAAAGCAGATTTAGAGCAGCACACAGGCAGGCAGAGGGAGAGGGAGGAAACTTGGAAACAGTAATAGTGATAGCAGCTACTTCAGATCAGCAAGATTAGTATAACATTAAGGTATTAGTAAGGCAAGTTAGAGAGGGGAGGAAGACAAAAGGAATCATCACTCTTAAATATTAAACAATACATATTTGCATTTTGTTTTGTGTATAATAAGTAGAGTGTGCTTACAGTGGATCCACCGCAGCCTCCAAACTCACATTACTGCTTGGTCTTTTTAACAACATTGGTGGTCGATTCTGGGGAAGAAAAAACACAACATACTCATTTTAGTCATCAAAATATCTGAACTGTTATAAAGGTGCACTAGGCATGCACTAATGCCATAATGTGCAAGATTTCAGACTAAACAAGCTGGTGGCTGGCCCTCCACCCGAAAGCTTACACAGTGCACCTTTACATTTTTGCACTGTTATTACAGCCATTTTGTTCACTTGTGTTGTTACCTGTCCAAAGTGCATAGTGATTGGTCTGCGGTCATCCCAGGTGTGCAGTGGCCCCTCTCTCCTGATAGCTCGGGCAGATGTTACCTCAGAAGTGCTCTCATTGTCTATAACCACTGATCCAGCTGTGGGGAAGCCGTTTTCTGCCTGTTCCTGCAAAGGGGAAACGTATGGAGGATAATAAGGGTCCGAGGAATGGCACTGCAGGGGGACAGGGAGGGAGGCAGTGCGACGAGGCTGGGTTTGTTATGGGTGTTTAAGTTGTTGAGATTTGGGTCAGAGGGCAGGCCAGTGTTTTTCATGAACAATGTTAAAATGTTAACCAAGCCATACAATTAAAACGACAACACAATATTGCTCATAACATATTAGAATTGGCTAGATTTGATACCTTTTGTTTCAGTCGGCTCTTCACCTCCTTGATACCCATTTTGGCATGATCTTTAGCCTGTCAGAGATGAAAAGCTTAGTTTGCCTCCTCAAAACACAATGGGAAGTTTAGATAAAAGATAAAACTCTTACAAATTTATAGACAGTTTTCATAGCTGGGTTTGCTTTAGTCCTCACTGTGTTAATGATTGCACCACCGCCTTTCTGCAATAAAATGTGTTAATTAAGAAATAAAGTCATTCAAAATACTTCATAATCATTCAAGTTATGTAGTACTAAAACAATTAACATAATAGCTTTACCTTAACAGTAAACAACCATTGGTGGTAGGTCTTGTCACTTCCTGTATAAAAAAACAAAACAAAGAAAATAATAAATATGCTGATAACGTACCTCAAATGGTCAAGACTTTTATGCACAAACATACCTGCATATTCTCCCATGTTGATCTCCTCTTCAAAAATGTCATTAAAGCCTTCTCCTGAGTTTAAAAGGTCCAAACGGCCATCAATAAACTGCTCACACAACCACAGCAAGGATGTGGGTAGAGAATTAAAATATGATAATGTCCTAAACAATACAGTAATGTGAATAATGTAGTACACCCTTCAAGATGTGAATAATGTGGTACACCCTTTTTGTCACATTTGAATATTTCTGATGACTACACCAGTTTTGAGTAACATTTGCTTATGATTTGCACTTTCCCTTTGCTTTCCAAAGCAGAGTTCTTAGTTCTGTGGAGTATATAATAAATTTAAGAACTTTCTTCATAATAGATTGCAAAAAATTATTAAATCAAGAAGAGTGTTCAATTTTTACATTATTGTAATTCATATTGATTGAATTTATACCTGTTTGAATAGTTGCAACTGAATCGCATTTTGAAGAAACTGCCTCATTGCACTTGACCGATGGTTGATAAATGTTTCTTCATTAAAGGTGATTGGCTCGCCCTAAAAGCACTGAAGTTAGACATTGCATGGGCAATCTAGTGCATTGATTTTGCTGTGGTGTGTTCACTGACCGGCTCAATCTGCAGGGCATTTCGGTAGCTGCCAAATAGAGCAGCCTGGCTCTTCAAAAAGGCCCGTGCCACACCATCACCTGTTGTTGTTGATACTTTTCTCAGTCGACTTTTTAGAGAGGAAACCTAACCAACAAACTGTGTTATCACAACACATTCCTTGGATAAAATAACTGTTGATTAAAACAATGATAATAATGTTCTCACCACATCATTAGGGAGGCTCTGGAGGTCTTCATAAGGAGTTTCCAGTGTGTTAGTGTCCACATTGAGGATCACCACATCATCAAGAGACATTCCCCGAACTTTCTACAATGCGCAAAAAGCCAATAGTAAAACAGATTAACTTTAAGTAAATTTAGAAGTCAGGAAGAAAATAGATAAAATCTACCTCCATTAAGCTGGAATGCACTCCAATTAGGTAAGGCATTGGGGCACTAAAAAAGAAACAATTACATTACAATTATCAGTGAGTTTTGAACATCAAACTATGAAATTTTTCTGAGTTTGGAGGACCATTAGATAGGTGGACAGTATGACTGGTCACAATGGTTAAAATTAGGCAAATGCATTTGCACATACCAGCAGTAGTCTAACAGATGTTGAGGCAGAACAGGAATGTAAACATGTTGCCAGTGCATTGGATACAACATGGCGGCTGACCCAT